CCATTGACCTTGTGGGGAATTGGCACCTCTGCCTGTTAGTACATAACACGGACTTTATACGATTTTTTACTTTAACTTACCTATATATGTAATATATAGTAAAGGAAAGTATTTTGATCGTGAAAATTTTTGAATCTCAGTTTTCGACGGAAATACACGTTTTGAGATCCTCTGAATCCAAATAACCAAGTCTCGCAAAATGGTCTGAGTGTGAACAGTCTAGCTCAAAAATGAAAAGTCGTACGAAAGTGAAATTGCATATTTAAGTTTATTATATGCTAGGGATGTTACAATAACTTTTTCGTCAAAAATCGACAGATCAAATGTATATGTTCATAGTATTATCGGAGTTCGTAATATATTAAGACCCTGTTACATATGGCCTGTTGTAATCTTTCGGATGAGCTCGGGTACGCTCGTACTCTTTTGGTACCTGCATTACAACTATTATCCGTTACGATCTCTTATTTCTCCTTACTTAACTGTCAAATTTTTTCATGGTTTTGTATTTAACTATATTTTATATCAAAGATTAATGTGAAGTGGTTCATTATTTCATTTTAGATTTAACATTTTTTTTATATTAGAGATCAATGTGAAATGATTAATTGTTTCAAATAAAAACAATTAATGGTACTTTAGACGAAGCTAATATTGAAAATTAGCCATTTAAGCCCTGTTAGAAAAGACCAATCAGAATAAAACGTACATTATATTTAAAACTGCTTAATAGCACACTGATATAGTGAGATTAATCAAAATGATTGGAACCATTTTTGAGAAAATCGTAAAAATGTGTTAAATCAGTTGTATAAAGTACCACTTCCGGTTTACCGATTTTGACAAAAAGGTTGCTGTAACATCCAAGGCTTATAAAAACCTCAAATATGCAATTTCACTTTCATACGACTTTTCGTTTTTGTACTAGACTCGTCACATACATACACACAGACACTAGTGGATCCAGAATTTGTTTTTGTTTTTTGGGAGGGGGCTTCAGCCGGACAGATTTTTTTTTTCTCATATACATATAAAGATAATTAATTTGAAAAAAAATAAAGAAATTAACTACCTTTATGAAATGGTGTTTAAGTGGTTCTTGAAGTCCAATTAAATGTAATTACAAGAACAAGAATACTTAGATAGTTTTAATACTTAGAGATAGTTTTTAAATTTCAAAAACATGGTTATATTTTACCATTTTTGGGGAGAGAGGGGGGCTTCAGCCCGAAAGCCCTCCCTCCCCCCCTCCGTAGATCCGTCTGTGCACACAGACACATACATGCACAGACCATTTTGCGGGACTTGGTTATTTGGACTCAAGAGACCTCAAAACATGTATTTCTGTTGATTCGAAAATTTTCACGATCGCAATCAATACTGTCCCTTACTATATTTTTAACTAAGTAGGTAAGTGAAAGACAAAATTACTCATTTCCTGTTCTGGATTGGATTGTGTATTTTCTGTTACATCCATGGTCTGTTTTTTGTCTCCTTGTGTTTTGGACATTTATGTTACACTCTGTACATTAATAATACATTAATTATACACTCTTAAGTTTAGGAACAAACAATTTGCGTCAGTTAAATTAATCTGTATGGAGAGAATATTAATGTAAATATTATTTTATCTTTATTAATAATCCTCGATGAAGAGAATTTATCACGGAATACCTTTGTTTAATTAGAAACGGTTTAGTGAGAAATTGTTTAATTAGTGCAGTATGAATGCCAATATTATTATTTCCAGGAATTCATTGAAGTTTTATTTAATGAATGAAACCAACGGCAACGGATTAGTTCATTCAAAGGGATGAATTAATTAGTGTTTCTACTGACTTCATGTTTAATTTAGTCTAATTGAATTCTATTGAATCTCATTCATGAATCATTATTATTATTATTGTCAATAAAACTTGTTAATATTTTCATGTGGAACAGAATTAGGAAGAATAACAGGATAGGATGTATATGAAGTTTCCGGAAATAGTATGATGAAATTTGATAAATATTTTTTTATTTATATTCTAAGCTTTAAAAGATTCATCAAGATAAGAATTTTATTTGTGAATAACTGAAAAAGGTACTAAACTGCTATGTATTGTGAATAGATATTAAAGTACAGATATGAATGTGTAAAAGTAGAAATAAAAAGATTGAAAACTTTTCCAATTTTCCAAAAATTATTATGTTCTAATTTCGACCACTGGGCAAACACTTGTTTATATAAATGACTCCTCAATTTTGAAGTTAACTTTCTAAGAGACAAAAAACTAAGGTATATGCTTTAGACTATACGATAGAGGTTTTATATAGACGATACAGCGAAGTTAATAATAAGAAATATGAATTATAAATAATAGTAGAGATGGTTGACCGTTATATAATAGAGAAGGAGTTGATTGGGGGGTGCGGACAAATAAATAATGTGAGAAGGAGTTAGTCGAGGGTGCGGTCAAATAAATAAAAAATTAAAATATATTAATTATTTTTAATTTTTGCGGACGTTTCGACCCACTTTGCAGGTCGTCTTCAGGGCTACAAAAGATACAAAACATGTTGAAAATAAAAAATAAATATAAGTATTTATAAAATAAGAAGAAGTTGTCAGATACAGAAATAAAAGATGGTATCTGAGATATAGTGGGTGACAATGTAGTTAAATATTAAGTATTATATATGTAGAAGATACAAATAAATGGAAAATAAGTAGGAATAAAAATTTAAAAAAAGGAGAATATAGCTTTATTTTTATTTTTATTCCTATTTATTGTCCATTTATTTGTTTCTTCTACATATATAATTCTTAATATTTAACTGCATTGTCACCCACTATATCTCAGATACCATCTTTTATTTCTGTATCTGACAACTTCTTCTTATTTTATATATATTTATATTTATTTTTTATTTTCAACATATTAAACGTCGGCAAAAATTAAAAATAATTAATATATTTTAATTTTTTATTTATTTGACCGCACCCTCGACTACCTCCTTCTCATATTATATCAACGTTCAACCATCTCTACATCATTACAAATAAATAATAAATTTTAAAAATAGTTTTGTTAATTATTAGGCCGACATTTCGATCCACCTTGCCAAGTCTTCATCAGGGCTACAAAAGATACAAAATATAAATTATCCATGGTGAAAATAATAATAATAAACGGTAGTAAATACCAAACCGGACATTGTATTAATTGGTCGGAACAAAGTGGGTATTTCATTGATATAGCGGTCCCAACCGATGATGATAATATCGATAAGACTATTTCTGAAAAGATTAGGAAATATCAAGACTTGTGCCAAGAGCTTCGGCAACTTTACAAACTGAATCAAGTCCTAGTATTTCCAATTGTAATTTCCAGCAATGGCTTCATCCCAGACGGAAGCATTCGCTCTGTCGGCCTTGGTCCGGGTAGGTAAACATTTCTGGCAAAAGTCAAGAAAGTGTGAAATTCGAAAATAATAATTCATTTATTTTATTTTCACCATGTATCTTTCTATATATTTTGTATCTTTTGTAGCCCTGATGAAAACCTGCAAGGTGGGTCGAAAAGTCGGCGTAGTAATTAAAAATACTATTTTTAAAATTTAGTATGTATTTGACCGCACCCCTCCAATCAACTCCTTCTCAAAATATATTTTCATTCATTCATTATCTTTTTCCCTTTTCGCCTCGCTAACACGGAGTCGCATTAAGATACAATTTTGAATTATAGCCTTTTAAAGATAGAGGATGAAATGCTGAATAATTTCCTCGCTTACAGTATTCAGGCCTGATTTTTAGTTTCTTATATATTTTAATCCATATGTAAAAACGCTGCAAATTATTTCACAATGGTTAATTATTTCCAATTATACATCTAAAGTAACATTACCATCCGAGTTACAAAGAAAAATAAACAAAAGGTGATTCCAATTATTAGAATAAACTTTGTTTTTTTTAATCGTTAGTAATATGCTTTAAAAAAAATAGCATTGTTTCAGTACCACATTCAAAATTTAAAAACCAAACCAAGGATATAACATTTGGAGTAGAACATATTAAAAAACATCTAGAGACCACATCTTTGCTAATAATTGTCCGATTTTAAAGACTATTTTTTTGTTTTTTTAGGAAATTTCTTAAACTTATAAAAAACCGTATGTAATATAAACAAAAAAGTGTATACTTTTTAAGTTATTCGGAATTTAATTTTACCAACCATCGTAACTTTTTTCCAGCTTCTTTTCGTTGAAGTATATTATATAGATAAATTTAAAGGGCATCGAGAAAATGACTTTAGCGAAGCTTCATTGAAATCTGTAAATTCGTTTAGGCGCAACAGTCTATAGCAACGCAGTTTTTTCGGCTGCCATTTTGAAAGTAAAAGGCGGATAGTAATGCCGATGAAGGAGGATCATCCTCAGGTGACCTCTGATTTTATATCAAACTTTGAAAAAAAAAAAAAGTCCATTAGTTTTGGAGAAAATGCGCGGACGGCGGACGGACAAAAAAAGTGTATTCGTTTTTTGAATTCTAGGCATCCTGAAACGTGAAACCTCAAATTTTGAGAGGGGGTTAAGTTTTTGAATTTTTTGGTCGATCACAATGGTTGATTATTGAAGATAATAAACAAAAACATTTCAATTAATCGACTCTATTCGACTTTACCCGACCTTTAACACTTTCTAAATGTGACGGATCAATCTTATTCATTCATAAAAAAGTGTAAAATACGCCTAACGAAGTTTTAAATAAAACATTAAAAAGTAGTTTGAAAACTACTGCTATATTAAACTATATCAAGGTATGACAACAGATGAGGTGTCATTATTTCAACATTGATTTTCGTAGGATAAAGTTATTCAAAACATCCTTGGTCCTGTTCAGTTTGCGAGTTATATATGACGCCATTCTCCTTATTTATTTCCTTCTAATGTAACGAAGTAACTATCTGATAAGAAGAATGAAGATTGAAGGACAGAGCTGTTGTGAAGAGTAGCCTTGAATGATGGGACGCACAGACTATTTGTCGCCCGAGGATGAAGATGAATTGAGAGTGGTTAGGCTGAGTTAGAGATATCATCCCCGATCTTCGCTCTACTATTGTTTAGCCTCTACTGCGTAACATAGCTACTGGATAACGATAACATTATCGTATAAACTATTTGTTTTATTACTTTCACTTACCTTTATATGTAATATATAGTAAGGGAAAGTATTGCGATCGTGAAAATTTTCGAATCTGAGTTTTTAACGTGAAATACACGTTTTGAGATACTCGGAGTCCAAATAACCAAGTCCTGCAAAATCTTCTGTATGTTAACAGTCTAGCTCAAAAACGAAAAGTAGTACGAAACTGTTATTAAGAATATAAGATAGTTATCCTCATACCAGACAAGAAATCGCTTGACGTTTCCGATTACTTCAGCACTTACTAGACAAACGCTTTAAACTTCCAATTAATTACAAAAGACTCATATACATGACTATAATAAGTCCTATTTGGACTAACGGAGTTGAGCTGTGGGGTTCCACTAAACCATCGAATTCCTCCTTCGTATCCAATCCTTACAATCCAAAATCCTTCGTAAATTCCTCAATGCTCCCTACTTTGTTACAAATAAAACCACCCATAATGACCTTAATGTTCCTTTTGTTTCAGATCTGGCCCAATCCAGATACTTATCCTTCCATAATAAACTTCAGAATCATCCCAACCCTCTCGTTTCTAACCTGCTTTCTCTTCAATTCCAGATAACCCTCCGAGGAGTCTGAAAAAAATATGGTCCCGTGATCTCGTAATGTAGACATATCATTGGGTAGTTTCTAAACAAGTGTTTACACGTCATTATATCCATATGTTCAAATTTACCATGCAGTTGTAAATATAATTAAGAAATAAAAAAATAAGAAAAGATAGTTATATGTCTTAGATGTGACAGCAATTTTTTTCTTATAATCGCCTAACTGGAAGTACCACTTTTTATCAATGGTGAAACAAATTTTTACAATTTCTCAAAAAACGACACTATCAATTTTAATTAAACTCTGTGTATCTTTGTACAATTAAGTGGTTTTTAATATCATTTAGGTCTTATCCCCATTGATGTCACTTTACAGGGCTTAAATACCTAATGTTCATATACGTCTGCCTCTAAAGTATCTTTAGTATGGTTTATTTTAAATAATTTATCATCTCACATTATTTAGAGTGACGAAAAAAATGGTAAATATAACTTTTGAAAGAATTTGATAACTGAATAAAGGAGAAAAAAATAAAAATGCTTATCCAAGCATACGAAAATGAATTCCCGAAAATACTAGTCAGAAGTTTAGGTATAATATATCGTTGGAAAGCGGAGAATTTTAGAAAAAAACAATATCTAATATAGAAAGTTGTAGAAGATAACGGAGAGTGGCGAAAAAATTATAAATAATAATTTTTGAAAACTAATAATATTTAACGTAAATCACATGTTTTCAAGGAAATTAAATGAAATTTACTAACTAAATATAAACTTTTAAAATATTTTTAGGTTTGAAAAAAGTATTTAAAATTCACGTAAACAAGGTAACGGCATTGTACTTGTGTGAAAGAAGAATTGAAATATAAAATCATTTCATGTTTGTATAAAGCAGATGTTCATAACCTTAAATATATTTACTGTAGTTTAATAACTCCAGATCTGATATTATATTTAAATAATTAAGTATCCATCGTCCGTTTATTCCGAAAAATGACCATGTAACCTTTTAGAAAATCAAATTAGTGAATAATTTAATTTTCTTTTTGTGATATTCCAACAGTATTAACTTACAATGACAACTTTTGATCTGTCTATGACAGTTAATGGAAATCTGTTAATTCCATTTTAGTAAACTTTACATTGGGAAATAACAGTTTAATAACTAATAGTCCTACAATCCATAAAAAAATAGGAGTTTTATTATTTTAATGGTATTTATGATTTGTTAGCTGTAAGCTCTTAGCTTTAGCTCGGTTAAAAATTCAATTAAAAAAAATTATAATAGTCCAACATGACCAGAAAATAATTTCTATTCAAAGTATAGCGATAAGTCAAAGTTGTGTGTTGCGCACACCAGATTTTTTTTTTGTTTCTTCTTCATTTACTTGTAGGCCGATCTGCTCTGCCTCTCTTATCAAAGAGTCTTAGCGAGTTTCTCAATGCCTTCTTGATTACTTCCAAGGACAGCTATATCATCTGTGTGTATAACCTAGAATTTTATGATTCATTCCGACGTGCGCCCCTCCATTTTCTTGTGATGTTCTTATCACTTTCTCCAGCGCTAAAACAGACAATTTTTCTAAAAGAAATTTGAATGGCGGTTATTCGGGTTTCGAGAAAATTTTATTTATGTTAACATGTAGTAATATCGATAGGAGAGATACTGCATACTTTTTAATCTATAATATTACATTATTATCGATCATTGGCTTTCTTTAATAAGATTTCTTAGGACACATAACATATTATAATCTCTAAGCGGTTTTCATGTCCATCGTCATTTAAGGTAGCCTTAAAACGTTTCGCAGTTTAGATACAGGCAGATAAGGATGGTTTTCGAAAGGGATCCGCCATGTTTACAAATCGGTGATGACTAGATTATATAGTTTGTTATATCGTAGGCCCCGGTCATCACGTCATCCTCTGGGGATGACCTCATCCGGATCGAAGCTGCTACCCTTCCGATTTGCCCGGAAGCTACATCCAGGAGGATCTGCAATTCATGGAGGTATCGAGGAGGCGGTGGCTCGGCCAGAACAGCTGTGTCAGATTTAAAAACCTATATTATGCTACTCTTCGCCATGTTGTGTCATGTCTCAACCTTATCATTATAATTTATTCTGGAACCGCTAGTTGTACATTTTTTTATTTATAATGTTATAATCCTATGTTATTATATGCATATATGGCTTATTAATGTATCCGCGAACTCTTTAGAATCCGGCAATAAACAGATGTATGTATATTTGCTCCAAAATTAAGTATCATAACAACACAACATGTTTCTATTATACGTATATTCATTATGTCATCATTAAGCTTTAATTACTATTAATAATTTCAAAATGCGTAAGTACTACCCCCTAGGTCTTTTCTGACCTAACGTAATAAAAACCTATTAAAAAAACCCTGCAAATTATTTCACAATGTTTTATTATTTTCAAGCAATTATACATCTAAAGTAACATTACCTTCTTAGTTACAAAGAAAAATAAATAAAAGGTGATTCCAATTATTGGACTAAACTTTATTTTTTTTAATCATTAGTTATATGCTAAAAAAAAATAGCGTTACTTCAGTAACACATTAAAAATTTAAAAACCAAACAAACAATATACCATTTGGAGTAAAACATATAAAAAAGAACTGAAGGCCATATCTTTTCTCCTAATTGTTGATTTTAACTATTTTTTTTTTTAAGGAAATTCCACAAACTTTTTGAAAAAAAACGTAAACTTTTTGAGTTTCGGAATTTTAATTTTACCATCCCTCGTAACTTTTTTTTATATTCGAAGGTACATTCGTTTAGGAGCTACAGTCTATAGCGACCGCCATTTTGAAAGTAAAAGGCGGATAGTAATGTCGATGAAGGAGGATCATCCTCGAGTGACCACTGATTTTATGTCCAAATTTGAAGAAAAAAAAAATTGGTCCAGTAGTTTCGGAGAAAACGCACGGACGGCAGACGGACAAACAAAAATTGTATTCGTTTTTCGAATTCTACGTATCCTGAAACGTGAGACCTCAAATTTTGAGAGGGGGTTTAGTTTTTTGAATTTTTTGGTCGATCACAATAGTTGATTGAAAATAATAAACCGAAAGTAAATAAGAACTCATAATTTTTTGGCAATGTGATACATTTTTTTATACATGAACTCTTAAGAAAACAAATTGAATTAAATAGATAATTTCAAAATGTCACATTAAAAATCTAACTAAAAAAGCAAACATTTGATAAAAAAAAAACAACGAAGGTATGTGCTTTAGACCACACGATTTTAGTATCTGAAATATTTTAATCCATATGTTCAACTAACCTTTGGTGAACCCCCATACCAGACTGAAACGACTAGAAACCGCCCGACGTTTCCGACTACTCCCAGCACTTACTAGACAAACGCTCTAAGCTCACAATAAATTACAAACGACTCATATATATTACTATAATAAGGCCTATTTGGACTTACGGGATCGAGCTTTGGGGCTCTACTAAACCATCAAATTCCTCTCGTATCCAATCGCTACAATCCAAAACCCTTCGTAAAATCCTTAATGCTCCCTACTTTATCACAAATAAAATAATCCATAAAGACCTCAATGTTCCATATGTTTCCGATTTGACCAAATCCAGATACCTATCCTTCCATAATAAACTTCATAACCATCCGAATCTCCTCATGTAGACAAATTATTAGAGTGCTACCAATGGGTAGTTTCTCAACAAGCGTGTTTCATGTGATAATATTCCTATGTACACATTTACTTGATGTATTCATACTAATACAGTTGTAAATATCATAATAAAAGTTAAAAAAAAAAAAAAGTTAAAGAATGAAATTAAGTGTATTTGTCGTGGATGTAGAATTTTATTGTTGGGATGCTTAAGTCTTTATGTATTAGGTGCGTTGATAATTTTTCTTAGATTTTTTTATTGTGTTGTTTGTAGTTTATTTATGTATGTTTGTTTTAACGAACCCCGAAGTTCTGTTCCGTATGTCCAAATTGGTCCCCGTATAGTGTTGTAGATCTGTCGCTTGTTTCATAAGTTAAGTGAGGATCTGTTGCTCAGAAGATGTGAGAGTTGGTTATGTCGTCTAGTCAGTTCTTGTCTTTTTGATATGATTTAAATGGATTATTTCCATTGCTCTTAAAAGATAAAGGTTTTAATGTTTTAAAGTCTCCCTTGATCAGAATTATATATTAATACCATATTTCATGCGGATCTAGAAATTCGTTCCCCTTGAACCTGGCTTTAAAAATGATTAAGGATACGAGTTTTTCTTAGACAAAAATAAAGCTTTTCTCTTTAGCTAATGTGGCAAACAAAATAGTACAAAAAAATAAATGGAGAACATGAGGGATGTTGAGCGGATGCCAGACCACATCTTTTAGTAGTTAAAAACTAGCCCTGTCTCTTTCCATTCCTTCCTCGCTAGTTTCCTTCTAATGTCCTTCTTGTTTTTGTTTTTTTTTCTTCCTTTACTTATCCAAGATGTTTCAGACCATTTATAATCTCTGTCATACTTATTTTCTTTTACACATTAACTTTCAACTTTTATATAAAAAAAACTAGCTGTAATCAGTATCGTTGTTATTTTATTTTTATCATTAAATTTTAATTTACTTTGTAAGAGTCTTAAGAAGAACTTTCATTCATACCCAGAGATACAGTACTCTATCTACAGTATAGAAGAACTATAACGTCATTTTTGTGTTTAAATGGTTGACTGTCGTGTATAATGAAGAGAAGAATAGTTGGGGTGATCAGTCAAATAAGAAAGCAAAAATAAATGATAATATTTATTTTGACATTTGTCGACGTTTCGACCTGAAGTTCAGGCCATCATCAGGGCTTTAGTTCAAACTTCGTCAGATAACCGTTAGAGATGACGTCACAATACATCTCTTCTCTCCCTCCTCCATTGCTACCATTTTCTCTTTCTTATACGTTGTCTGTACATCTTGATAGACTTTACAATATCTCAATTTTCTATCTAACTATTCTATTCGCAATATCTTAATTTTACTATTTATTTTCATTTCTTATATAACTTCATATTCCTTTTCTCTGTATTACATTTTATTCTAAGATTCCCATTTTAATAGTTATGTCACCTTTTTTTTTATTATGTTTACTTCATCATTCCACACTTTGAATTGGTTATTATTATTTATCTCTTAGTTCTTACTATTGTCATTATTCTAACAACTTCGTTTTACTTTATACTTTTTTTTACCTACACTACTTATGTTTCTCATACCTTGTTATCTGGTTCTTTTCTTAGACCTAATGAAGGCCTGAATTTCAGGTCGAAACGTCGGCATATGTAAAAATAAATATTATCATTTATTTTTGCCTTCTTATTTGACTGATCACCCCAACTATTCTTCTCTTTAATATAGCATCGTTTGCTTGTTACCATCATACGATTCGTTCTTATTTATAACGTAAATAAAATTATTGGCAAAGATTCGAATATCCTCCTCTAAGAAGATATGTCCAAATATAGACGACCATCCTTCCACAAACTGAACTGCTCATTCACAGAAAGCCGTTGACCTTTCGCTCAAACCTAACCGAGCCATCTTGACAAATCCTGACGATTCGAGAATAGCATTCGAAAATAAAATTACTTTAGCTCTTCATTATATTAGACGCTTATATCCAAAGCAAACCTTAGTCATTGCTGAGAATATTTTAGGAAACGCAAAAAAATATATATATTTTCTATTTCAATTGAAACTATCAAAACCAATATATTTTAAAAATAAATTAAGAAAATCTTTATTTTTGTAACATATTCCCGAAAATCACTGATTCTTACAATAGTATTTATAAAACATAAAACTCGAAACTAAACACCAAAATGCTTCCATGACAGCATTTGCTGATGACATAGCTGTCTCAAGTAGCAGTACGAATGCCAAAAAAGCTATGCAGCAGGCGGAAATAGCTTGTGAAAAAATTGCAGAACTGCTAAAAATCCTAAACATAGACGTTAATCCGGAAAAGACGAAAAGAATTATATTTTCATACCAAAAAGGGAAAAAGAAAATGCCAAACGAATTCAAAATTAACAATAAAAGTATTAAATTATCGACTGACTTAACATATCTCGGTATTCACTTCGACAGACATTTAAAATTTACTAGACGTACAGACTCCAAAATTTAATTCGGACAACAAACCTATCTTTACGCCTAAAGCTTCTAGTCTATACAAGTATAATACTGCCGGCTCTGTTGTATGGTGCACCTCTGTTCGAACACATCAGCAAAACAACTGGGAAAAGATTACAATATTTCCAAAATGGAATAATTAGAAAAATTTTAAGAGGAACCACGCTGCAGAGAAAGAAGACAGTGGATATTCAAGCAACACTAAATTTATCAACTATAAAAGAATTTCTGGCAAAACGAAAAAAATCATTTTTCGAAAAATCCCAACAATTGGCAAACCCTCTTTTCAACAACTTATCACCAGCCCAAATTCCAAAACGTTGGCAACAAATCACGTGAAATAGATGTTTTATTAATTTAGTTGTAAGCCCTAGAGGATAAGGTCAACTCAAGCCTGAGGTGAGCCCCATCACCTGTTATTATATTACAGATTAAGAACAAAATAATTATAAACGACAAAAAAAAAAAATACACCTTACAATGCTTTTAAGCAGTAAAAGAACTACTACGAAAACAATGAAAAGGTTCCAAGTGAAAAATAAATAAAGAGTGGATATTAAAAAAAAAAAATGTTTTAATTAGGTCCTTTTTGGAAAGAAATAAACTTTGAAGCCCATTTTTGGAAGAAGAAAAAAAAAAGGACACTTCATTGGGGATTGTTTTGAGAAGAAAAATCTGGTGCGGTGCGCGCATCACAAAACTTTCACTTACCCCACCCTCTTAGCAGAAATAAGTATTTTCAAACAAAGCGAAGTAGAAGTGAAATATATAGACTCTATATTTATTTATATTTCATTGTGGGTATTTTTATTTGTATAAGTACCCTCATATATATAAATTTTAATATTTATATATCTGTCATCTATACTATTAAATATTAATTAATACCAACAATAGCATTTATGAAAACTAATAATACAAACAAAGCATTTATTATATGAATGTATATTCGTTCCTCAATTACAACTATTCTCCGTTATGATCTCTTATTTCTCCTTTAGTTATTTATCAAATTCTTTCATATTTCTTATTTAACCATTTTTCAAATTATAAATTAATGTGAAATGGTCAATTGTTTCAAATAAAAAAAAAAAATAAAGGTACTTTATAGAGTAAGCTAATATTGAAAATTAGCCATTTAAGCCCTGTTAGAGAACATCAATCAGAATAATAACTGAATTTTATTTAAAACTGCTTAATTAACTGCTGACTTTATGCTTTTATTTATGGTATGTTACTCGAAATATAAATTCTATAAAATCATAGTTCCCTCCAAAAATTCATAATCCCCTCAAAATTTTGAGGGCACAAGTTGTCACCCCCTTATTCAGATTCATAGGACGTATATTATGTGTGTTTTTTTCTGTTGGCTTTACAGACCTTGAAGTTCTTTTGCCGCCTTAACAAGCCTGCTCCATCTCTGCCTGTCTTGGGCTATTTCTTTCCACTTTGCATTATGTTAATTCAATAAAATTTAATTATGGTTTAATATCTTCTTATTTTTTTCTAACGTAGAAGCATTCCGATTTATTGACATTGTGATAAATTATATTTTTAAAAAATAAGATTTAATTGTTTATTATTATTATTAGTTTAATTAATCCAAACTATATTATACATAAAAACTAATATACAAAATTAACCTAATATTTAAATGACAATTCAATAATATTGTATTGACATAAACAGGAATAATAAGTCCCTATAAGGGTACTGTATTCGGATATGGTAAACCGGAAGACAAACGGATCACTTCCGTTAAAGAGGTCGTTGCCACTGCCATTAGCATATCGACGTGACAAATGGACAAGATTTTTTTTTATTTATCAAAATTTAAAAAACATAGAATTCTTTGAGAATTGAATTATAGAAATATTAATTTAAACTTAATTAATTTTAATTTTGCATTAATTTCCATGTAACTATTATAATTTTAATTTTTCTGTTTTTTCTTTTTTTTTTTTAATTTGAATCTGAAAAAAAAAATGTATATTTAATTTTCAAATTGTGAAAAAATATAAGTGAATTCATTTCTCAAGATGAAATATAGGGTGGATTTCGAGAAAGCGGTGGAAATAAAATTTATTCGAGTTGGGAATGATTAAAAAGCGGCTATCTGTTCTAATAAATCTAAAATACTATTTCTTTTTTAATATGGATATTATTAAACTTATTTGAACGAAATATATTATTTTAGGCAGTGGTTTTAAAAACTTATCACGTTTTCGTTTCTGTCGTATTTCATCCCAACCCAAATAGATTTAGCCTTGTATCATTTATATATCTTTTTTTTTTTAAGTTATAAACTTAATCAAAATTATGTTATACGTTTTTCTGAAATAATTGCTTAAAATAAATTTAGTGATTATAAAAAATAAATAAATTCATAAAATACGGAATTATAATATCGCTACTGTTAGTGCAAAAGGTAGGTCGTATGGAAAAATTGGTTTTATTTCTTTAGGGATTATAATCAGGGATCCAGGATTTAATTTTGGGAGCTTCTGCCCTAAAGTTTTTTTTTTAAGTGAATACTTCTTTAGACGCGTTTTGTACTTTTTTGTGGAGAGTGAATTAGATTGAGCCGTCAGATTTCCGACGTGTAACGCTCGGATAGAGTCGGCTAATTGAAGTGTTTTTGCATATGAATTAAAACATCTCAAAAACTATAAATCGGACCTGCATTTTGTTACCGTGGGAAACGTTTACCATTTCATCTTCTTTATAATGAGCTATTATTCAAAATTGTATTTTAACTTGTCGCCGTGGTAGACAGGCGAAAATGGAAACAATACAACTAAACCGATTATAACGAATGCCGAAGACCAAATTATAACGAGTTTTATGGAAGATATGGATTAAAATATCTCAGAAACTAAAAATCGGATCTGCATACTGTAAGTGAAGAAAATGTTCAGCATTTCATCCTCTTTATAATGAACTATTATTTATAATTTACATTTCACATTATTAATCTCGCCTTGTATTTTTTTCCACACATACATTAGTTTTTTTTTTCATATATATGTATATATATATATATATATATATATATATATATATATATATATATATATATATATATATATATATAGCGATAATTACTTTGGGGAAAAAAGAAAGAAACCAACTACCTATGTGAGGTGTTTAAGTGATTCTTGAAGTCCTGTTAAATGTAATTACACGAAAAATAATACTTTAAGAGATAATTTTTTTTTTTCTGTAAAACATGGTTATATTTAACCATTTTGTGAGGGGACTTCAGCCCAAAAGCCTCCCCCCTCCCTTAATCAGTATAATTTCATATTTTATTTCCCTCAACTATTTTTCTATTTAGCTGACTACTTATAGCAGTTGTAGACTATAAAATGCCACTTGTAACGCAAAGATAATAAACATGTAAAATTGAACCACGTTTTGCACTAATAATAGCTATACGAATAAATATTAATGAATAACGTATATTATTGTAAACATTCAGTGTTTTTTAGAACCCTTAAGTAACAATCAAGTCTTCCTTTTTCAGTATAAAGACTTTGTGACAACTATCGATTTTAAAATCTATACTGAAAATAAAGGGATTTATTTTTCATTTTTACCATAGTTTTATTATTTTATTTCTATGGTGTCTTCTTAGATATTCTTCATATTTTTTCTTTCTCCAAATAAATTGAAATAAGGCCCTTAATTTATTTTATATCAATTACATTGTATGAGCAAAATTATTGTGAATAATAATTAAAGAGCTGCCTAAGGTTCATTTCGGTGGCAACACTGTTAATCGTCTGTCTTGCTTTTGTTTTTGTTATTTTTTTTATATTTATTCAATAATTATTGTATAATTTTCTGTAGTATTTATTAAATCGTAGTATTTTAAATTTGTTTATTTTATTAACATGCATAAAATTATATTAGGTTTATTTTTATAATTTATTGGATATCTTAATCAAGTGGCAACACTGCGTAGAATTGTTTACATTGATGTGTAAGTTTTTTAGCTTCGGTTTGTAAATGATTGTTTTTTTAACATTATTAAGAAAACGCTACGCTTTTTTGTCAAAAAGGGACTAAGGAGTTTTTTTTGCTACCCACAGGGGTTTTTAGTTCAAGGTGAAATTTAGAAGTTTCTATCAGCTGTTTGTTTTCACTTCGCATTCGTCCAATGAGAGGTGTATAAGGTGAAGGATTTATCATAGTTTGTTATTTTTCTTTAATGGCGTGTGATTACAATGAAAAATAATCGGAAAACTCAAGTATGCCCTGTTGATGGGTATAAGTGTTAACAGGTGCGCTCGTCGCCCGATCGGGTCTGTCCCACGTTTCGGATTATTAAGGTTTTTAAAAGACCTTGAAGAAAAAAAGAAAGAAAAAAAGTTACGCCGTGAGTTTGTGTAGGCTCTCTTAGTTGAGTGATGTCATAGTTAGGTGTGGTCTCCCTAGTCTTCCTTCCGCCACCACGTCAGAACTCAATTGAAGAGGTTAGGGCCTGCACATGTCGTGTGGCTCCAGTGAAAGTCCATTCCAGAAGTGGGGAGGGATCTGTTACGAAATCCCTTAGCTTAGGTCACAGATGCTCCTCTTACAACTGTTGCCATATTCCAAAGATTGCCACAGTCCTGAAGGGGGTACCGCGGCTTGCAGAGTTCCAGGGACAGAAATAGCTCAGCTGGAATAAGAGGGGACTAAAATTATACAGGCAAAAGGCCAGTGCTCTCTGATGTGTTCGACAGAAATGTGTTAAGAAGAAGAAAAAAAAATATATATATTTATATTTGTTGTGTGTGTTAGCTTGTGTTAAAAAAATTAAATAAAAAAATTGTTGAGTGATATGTTCTGTTTGTGATGTCAGATGTGGATATGAGTGTAGACTTCTTGGTGGAACTATGCCATGGTAGTGAGACCATGGTGTTTGGCCTGTCAGTACCTTCTTGCTCATGAGTATGAGGGTAATAACAAGCCTAAGTTTCCATATAAACCTTGGAAGAAACCGAAACCGAGGTCTTACAACAAGGTACTTGAATGTTAATCATTTAAATAAATAAAAAACGAAGCAAGATATTTAGAATATATTTTCTTTAAAATATTTAAGAAAACTAATAGTCAATTTATTAAAAAAGATCTCCAATATATTTATCGTATATTTCTGTAAATCACATGTATTCTTCACATTTGACACCTGTTGAATTTTATCTCTTAACGCATTCTTATCTAACAGATAAATAGGATTCCAGAATATAGATATCTGTAATGACATACTACAAGTACGTGAAATTTATAATAATATTAAATGGTTTTGCAACAATATTCCATTTCGATAGTTATATAGGTTGACATTTAGAACACCTGTTTAATTTTTTCATCCTATGAACTTCATTGATTATCAGTTCATAGTATTAAGACAAAGTTAATCTTATATCTGTCTAATATACATTTTTAAAAATTAATTTGATACTATCAGAATTAAAGTGACTTTAACATGAATGTTAATCATTTAAATAAATAAATGAGAAGCAACATATTTAGAAAATATTTAAGAAAACTAATAGTCAATTCAAAGACAAATTAAAATCGTTTTATTAAAAAAGATCTCCAATATATTTATCGTATATTTCTGTAAATCACATGTATTCTAGACAGATTTGACACCTGTTGAATTTTATCACTTAATACACCTCATATATATTCTTATCTAACAGATAATAGGATTCCAGAATATACATATTTGTGTGAGTGACATACTACAAGTATGTGAAATTTTTAATAATATTAAATGGTTTTGCAACAAGCTTTCAGTTCGATAGTTATATAGCTTGACATTTAGAACACCTGTTTCATTTTTTCATCCTATGAACTTCATTGATTATCAGTTCATAGTGTTAAGACAAAGTTAATCTTGTATCTGTCTAATATACATTTTTAATTATTTTTAATAATTAATTTGATAAAGTCAGAATTAAATTAACTTTTGTCAGTTATGACATATTAATAAAGGCACGTTGGTAACACTAAAAAATGTATATTTAAACGTGTTAATCATTTTTTTTTCATATCAAATTTCGAGATGATTATCCAATTTAAAAAAAAATATTTATTGATACGTCACTATCATTTTCAGCTACTGAATCTCCAATACCGGAATACTTACAAAATTTTGAGATTATTTTTCTGTAGTGCTTCCAACTCGATAAAATAATTACAAACTGTAAAACTATATATATTACAAATACTATTTTTTAAAATCTGAAGATATTTTTCTATCATTCTACAGCACTATCATTCTTAGCTACTTAATCTCCCATACCGGGATACTTAAAACTTTGAGATTATTTTTCCTTAGTGCTTCCAACACTATAAAATTATTGCGAACTGTAAAACTATATATATTACAAATACTATTTTTTTTAAATCTGTAGATATTTTTCTATTCCAATCAGTTCATTTATAATTTATTGAGAAATAAACTAATATTCTGAACAAGTTGTAGAATTTCAAACACAAAAAAAAAACTGAAAATAGATTTGTCTGGTTTTGAAATTCTTTGCTTCATACATACATTTAGGTAAATGTGAAAGCATCTTAAGCAATACGAAACACCTGTTCTATTTAATTCAAAGTAAAGATCAAATATTTTTTTTAAAACAGTAATAAGAATAGTACACAATTTAAAAATTAATAAAAACAGGTGGCTAGTTTTATTCGTTTAATTCTGTATTAGTTACAATAAAATTTAAGGTTGTTGCCCAACATATATGTTTATGGAAAAGCATGATTAGTTTGAGATCTGCTCTCTATCGTCTCTATTATATTTATAGTTTGTTTTATTAATTTATTGACATTATAAAATAACATAATATATGCCAAAAATCAAAGAATTTTTAGAACAGTTATTTTATTTTGATTTGAGTCATGCATTTTGTTTTGTTTTTTTGTTTTTTTTTTTGTTCTTACTCATAATAAAATCTTTTAACTCAATAATCTAGTGTTAATTTTTTAAATAGTTGAAAATCATTTGAATTATAAGGTTTTGTCTAATGAAAATGTAACAAGTGGTTAATAAATGTTTTAATAAATTTGCCTTTAGCATTTTGTACCACATCATTACTTTTGGATAATTATATTTTTAGTAAATATCTTTAGACCCTCAAAAGAGTCAGTTAATATGCCGTGAAGAACTTCAGACTTGTATGATCAATCTCAAAAGGAAATTAATTAAGTCGTGTAGTAAAATTTGCCCTTCCTTATTAATTTCATACCAGAACTATCTTTGATTCAACCAGATCTTAGTTATGAAACTAACGCAACTCTTTTCATTACTATGTTATATTTTATTTTTTCTCTTTAACTATATTATATTTTCACTTGTATGTGTTTTATGATAACCTTATTTTTTACTAATATTATAATTATTTCTGTTTCAGAACTACTCGAGGGAATCTATCCTTAGTCAGAAAGTCGGGACCCCACCTCATACCACCCTCCAAAGGCACACTAAAGCAAACAAAAGTCTCCTCCTACCTAGGTAAGTTTAACTATAATATTTATCTCAAATGTAGTTAAAATAATAAGACATTTTTTATTTAAATAATTTATATATTATTCTATCTGTAAACAGATGGACTAAAAGTTTTCTTTTTAATAGATTGAAGATTTTCTAACTTTTTTTAGTCATTAATTCTAGTATTAAATAAAAATAAAAGTCTGCCAAGTAACGTCAGTATAGCTTCCTCACCGTTTTCATTTTCTAAAAAATATCTATATTAAGGTCTACAATTTTTGGTTTGAGAATAAAATCTCTGGAAGAAGCCATTGTCGGAAATTCAGTAACCCCTCAACATATTCGGGCTTGATATCCACAAGTTTTGTTTGTTAACAAATACTAAAATGCGAAAGAGTTGCGCATTTGCAGATAATTCGTAATTAAAAAAAAATAAGTTGACAGGCGCAAATAAATTTTTTATAGACCAAAAAAAAAATTCCAGTGCATACTGAATAAGTATATCGCTACTGTTAGTGCAAAAGGACGTATATAAAAAATGGGTGTTTTACAGCAGAACTAATTATTTCTTTATGATTTATTAGTATAATTTTATATTTTATTGCCCTCTGCTATTTTTTATAGTAGTAGACTACTTATATCAATTGCAGAATAGATAATGTCAAAAATTTAAAACTTTTACATATGAACTTTTGCACTTAAAGTAGTGATATATACTTAATATGTATGTTTTCACTTGTAAAATGGATGGAACCAAAAATTCAACTTTTTTTTCGGTTCATAGCTAGCAAGACCAATACTTTTCGAGGAAATCGAATGTACGATAAGCTGGTTGATCATCAATAGATGTAAATATAATCATAAAAAAGACTTTTTCTTATCAAATCCTGAGGAAAAATTAATTTAAATTTACTGAGAATTACAAGAAATCTATTTAGCGGCAGTAACTGTCTCTAACGTTTGAAATCGAACAAACAATATCTTATAAAATAACTTTTTGAATAAAACCTAAAATTTTATAACCCCATAAAAATATTGTATTAACCTAACTTCGACTCGACATGGTTAATGCCTTCCATATTTCACAGCCATCATATTGTTAACAGTTATTTATATTAATATGGAATGTTAAATGAAATTGATACTAGACAATTTCTGAACTATTCTCATTTTCTCCAAGTTTGGGTCAAATTGAACAAGTTGTATTCAAACTACAGGTGTGTCATATAATGCATTTCCTGATCTGAAAGCGGAAGTATGGTTTTTGGAGTAGTGGCTAAAATTTTATAAAATTCATACATACTTGATTATCTGTTTATCAATCAATTCCCTCCAGATTTGAGCCAAATGGAACGTACGGTTTAAGAAATATAGACATATCTAGGAAAACATGTTTGCTCATATAGAAGAGAAAATAAAGGACAGATTTCAATGAAATTGATACTATGTTATTTTTTTATTTATACCTACTTTTTTTCTAACTTTGAACCAAATCGAACTAGCCGTTTTTGAAATATTGGCATCTCTAAAAAAATATGATTGCGTGTTTGTAAGTGGAAGTCCTGGATAGAATTTGATGAAATTGATATGGGACCATCTAGACACCAACTCGCACAATCCTTGAAAATTTCATAAAAATCAGATAAACGGTAGTAGGTGATATAGCCGTTACATCGATTTGACTACAGACAAATAGATGCCAAACCAAATTTGATCCTTGATATCTGAAATGTAAACGCGAGTGGAAATTTTCGATTCTGAGCACAAAATATTTTTTGACCTCTTGCACGATTACAATGCTTTCCTACCTTCATGAGGAAGCAAAATTATAATCTAAATAGAAGAAAATGATTGTTTTAGAAATTTAATATATTTTTATTTTTCCCATTAGTTTCTGTAATTAAAAAATAATTCTTTCTTTCTGTGATATACCTTTCTGTTTCTATCTTATCTTTCTATGATAGAAACAGCTGAATCTAATTGTAATATTACTTCTTAAATTATTTTGACAATCATATATATATATTCATATTTATTTTATTTTTTGTCTTGTAACATAGGTTTTACTTCCCTCACGGGAAAGTACAAAATCAAGCCGAACGCCACCTTATCCAAGAAGCTATAAGAACTGTCTTTCTCAGTCTTCCCAACCAGCAAGCTACCTTGGATAAATTTGGAGCTGTTACCAAAGTATGTCCTTTCAATATATATTTATTATAAAAAAATAATATTTATAAATATAATTATAATAAACCATTAAATATATAATATAAAGTAAAAGAGTTTAAAAAACTCAAAAGAGACATTTAATGTTAGGTTAAAATATGAAAAATTCCAATCACTCAACCTTATGTCTCTAATATATAGATAAAGAATAAAAATTTGTCAACGTTTCGCCAATTCATTCATCATCAGAACATAAAGTAAAAGAAACCGAAAATTACCACTCCATGACATCCAACTGCATCCAGTATGCTTGTGTATTGCAATATACAGTATACCTGAATCGGCAAAACGTTGATGGGTTTTTTTATTCTTTACCTATATTTTGGAGACGTGAGGCTGTGTGGTTGGAATTTTTCAAATTATAACCTAATATAAATTAATTTATTTCCATCATTTAAAATCTTTTAATTATTAATATTTACTACAATATTTTTTATATTTAGAATAGAATAGAAAATAATTTTACTCTGGGACAAAGTCCCTTTAGAATAACAAAAAAGTACAAAATTAAAATATTATATCTGGCCTAAATAAAAACATTAGTTAAACATACTATATACAAAATTTTAATAAAAATCTATATATAAAACACTTGAAACCATGCTAAATCACTTAAAACTATGTACAGTGGTAAAAAATAAATATACTTTTAGAAAAAAATAAAATAAAAAATACATTACATTCTTCTTAGCAGTAAACTCTGTGTTTCTCTAAAAAAAAAAAAATAAAAAAGAAAGTCGAATCTGATAGTAAGTATTTAAATGATGAGTTGTCCTTATTATATTTATCTCCCTTATTTATTTATTTTTTTCTATTAATTCATTTCTTGTGCTTATTTTGCAGGCTTGTGGATGCCCGCTTTACTGGAAAGCTCCTTTATTTATCGCATGCGGAGGCGAAAAGCTGGGCTATGTCGAACTGAATATGGTTCTAGACTATTGGAGGGAGTAAGTAGAAAATAAAATAAATAGCTTTGTATTTCTACATTATGTCGGTAACTGTGACGGTTATAGCCTTGCCATCAACTCTCATCGGATATCAAATGTGTAAATATGAAATCAGAATTCGTCCGTAGATGGCTCTAATTGTTAATTTAGCTACCATTATAACCGCATTATTTGTGCCATTTTGTTTCTTCGACGGCTGGCAAATATTTTCAACTCAAAACAAAACAAGTTTCATATAACAGCATTGTTTTTAATTGTGTAGAACATATCGAGTATTGTGCGTACATACTACGATTTGCTGACAGTAGTTTTCTGTTACCATTTTTAAAAAACTGCTATCACATCAAGTACTTATAAAAAGTTACAATGATTATACTCTTGGTAATAATAGTTATTAGAGCGGTTTAAAAAATTCATAAGTGGCGATTTTGTCTTGACGGTATGATCTTTTATGAGCTGCTAGAATCTGGTGAAAACATTGATACTGAACGCTACTGATAGCAAATAATCTATTTGAATTGAGTATTTTCTGAAAAATTACCGTAATATCAAAAAAGTGAACTCAAAGTAATTTTGCATCATGATAATAAATTATCAGATACAGCAAAGCCAGTGATGGAAACGATTTAGGTGTATTTCCTGTAAGAAAATTTGAGTTTCATATTTGCACACCTGTAAACCTGGAAAGTTGCTGTTATAACAGTGTTTACTGTCATGATAGTGAACTGTACATGTCATAGCTGTGACAACTATTGCCGTGATCACTACCATATGTAAACGCATTAACTGTATACTGCAATAGTGGTTGTCCAGGTTACAACACTATATATTTTTTTTTATTAATTTAGTTGGCTTTGTTCAAATAACCACATCAGCTGTTCTTTTAAATGTGTAGTGGTCAGCAGTGTTGCCGTTCATACGAGGATTGACCAGCCTCGTACCTCGTATATAATTTTTGCTGACGTATGCAGTTATATTTTTATGAATGAAGTTTAGATTTGTTTTAGAATTATTTTTACTGTGTTATTATTTATATTAATATATAATACTTAACTTCTTTTGCTTTATAGACAAATAAGTTGCAATCATATCTATTTTAATTAGAGTATGATTTTTATTTCCTTCATAAAATCTTGATTGTTTATATATGTTTTTTTTTTAATTTTCTAGAACAGAAATTTTTTTAAAAAATTACTGTCATTTTTAAAAAAATATTTTCGATTTTTATCAAAAATAAAATATATAAAGTATATAATATTCCTTCATAATTATTATTGCCCTCATAATATGATTGTAACATGATGCATTTAAATAATTAAAATTAAGAAAAATAAAATTAATCTCAATTATATGTTACCTAGTTTCGAACATCGATGAAGTCATAATAATGTGTTTTTTTTATTTTTAAGAATGATAGAAATATTGTATCCTTTAAAAAGTTTATTTTGCTATTTTAATTTGTATTGAAAGTTTTTCAATAGTATCTAAAAGTATATGCACTTTTTTATATATTTAATTGCATGCTTTAAATTGAACTCACTTTACTTGATGATTAATTAACTTAAAAAAAAAATGTAAAAAGGCCTTAAAATATATGAATAAATCTTAAAATATATGATGAAATCATAATAATGTGTTTTGTTTGTTTTTTTTGTTTTTTTTTAATAATGATAGAAATATTGTATCCTTTAAAAAGTTTATTTTGCTGTTTTAATTTGTATTGAAAGTTTTTCAATAGTTTCTAAAAATATATGCACTTTTTTATATATATAATTGCATGCTTTAAATTGATCTCATTTTACTTGATGATTAATTAACTTTAAAAAACAAAATAATAAGGCCTTAAAATATATGGATAGAGATAATAAGCAAAGCTCTGATCTAATTTTACTTTAAAAAAACAAAACAATAACATTGGACCTACAATAATGGTTCGAATTTTCAATGAGCAGGCATACGAGGTTTGAGGTATGAGGATTTGTTACAGTACGCGCGGTGGTTAGTCAGTGGTGGTCAGTCAGCTGTTTATTATCTTCCATTTTCCATCTGTTAACAGTCAATATGTAGATAAGGACAATGTCATGTCAATTCTCCCGAGACAAAAAATTGACACCGAGGAAATCAAGTTTTATTTAATACACTTTAATCACAAAAATACAATTACAATTTAATACATCTTTTTTAAACTTTAAGAATTATAATAATAATAATAAAAGGCTTAGCGAACCCGAAGGTTCGATGCCGACACCACCAATCGCTTATTACACACCTCCCTCCACCGTTCGCCGTCCAAACCCAGTCCCTTCAGATCGGCTTTAATGCAATCTTCCCACCTTCGCTTCGGTCTACCCCTCGGACGCTTACCATTCGGTACCGCAAATATTAACCTTTTAGGAATTCTCTCGTTACTAAGCCCAACAACTTTACAAGCCCATTTGATTCGCCGCGATGAAATTACCTCAATTATATTACTCGGATACAGCTCACGCAATTCGGCGTTGTGTAACCGTCTGAACTCTCCGGTTAACTCATCCTTCTTCGGTCCGAATATTCTACGCAATACTTTATTTTCAAAAACCTTAAGACGCTGCTCATCCCTTAATGTAAGCGGCCAAGTTTCGCATCCATAAAGAACTGTAGGCAAGATAATTGTTTTATAGATTCTAATTTTTAAGTTTCGGGACAAGAGGCGCGAACTAAGTAGTTTTGTCACAGAAAAATAACAAGCATTTCCCGCCTTCAGTCTAACCTTAATCTCTTCTTCAATTTCGTTTTTTCTAGTTATCGTAGAACCTAGATACCTAAATTTATCTACCTGTTCAAACATATTATCATCTATATCGATATCACCAGTAGTATCGCCATTTTTGCAGCTAACCATATATTTTGTTTTATCCACGTTTATTTCGAGTCCTAGTTCTTTACCGGCTTTCATTAACGTTGTCGTATTTAGTTTTATAGTTTCAACGTCTTCGCTTAACAGTACCAGATCATCAGCATAGCCCAGCACGGATGTTGTCCCACCCAGATCCAACCCTTTCTCGGTACGCATTACCTCCCTAATGGCATGTTCTATGCCAAATTGAACAGGACAGGCGAAAGGGAATCCCCCTGTTTTAAACCCGAACGAACCTCAAATTTTTCGGACAAATTAATACCGATTCTAACTTTATTGAGTGTCTCCGTCAAGCACATCCTGACTAGATTTACTAGTTTTTTTGGAATCCCCTGCTCGATTAGAATATTATACAGTTTCTGGCGGTCAATAGAATCGTAAGCCTTTTTAAAATCTATATACAGCTGGTGAACAATACCGTTATACTCCAATTTTTTCTCTAATATTTGCCGTAAAGAAAATATTTGATCAATTGTCGAACGATTCCGTCTAAATCCGCATTGGTAGTCTCCGATAATTTCCTCGGCGTATTCCGTGATTCGACTGGTTAAGATTGAAGTGAATATTTTATAACATACCGGAAGGAGTGAAATTCCTCGATAGTTATTACAATCCGTCCTCGGACCCTTTTTGTGAATCGGAATAAGAATAGATTCTTTCCATTCTTCAGGTAATTTCTCGTTCACCCAGATCTTTTCAACCAACCGATGTATTTTAGAAACTCCAGCTTCTCCGCATGCCTTAATTAGTTCAGTAGGAATATTATCGATTCCCGCTGTTTTATATGATTTTAATTTTCCGATAGCTAATTCAACTTCCTCTTTACTTGGTCCTTCTATTAACGGTTCAGCACTCTGGTACTCAGAAGGAGGACACAGATCATAATTTCCCGTATTTAAAATATTGTCAAAGTGGTCCTTAAACTTATTCAATATGTCAACCGGATCGGTCAGAATATTGTTATTATCATCCCTAATTCCGGACGTTACGGGTCCTACATATTTACGTGATCTGTTTATACCTTTGTACATGTCTCTTAAGTTATTTTCGATTCTATTAGTTTCTATTTCAATTATTTTATTTTTAAGATACTCCCTTTTTTTATTTTTGAGCAATTTTGTCGTTTCGTTCTTTGAGGTTCGGAAGTATTCCAGATTGTCTTCGCTAGGATTATTTAGAGCTTTTAATTTAGCGGCTTTTCGTTTTTCGCACATGTTTAAGCAATCTTCATCAAACCACGGTTTGTTATTCTTATTTTCCTTTTTTCCTAGGCACGAGTTACCGACCGCTTTTATATTATCCCTGATCTCTACCCATAACTTGTCAATATCCTCGTGATCCTCGTCAGGAAGCTCTAAAGCTTCAAACCTATTCTTAACATCTAGCTCGAATTGGTTTCTAATTGATGGATTTTTTAATTTTTCCAAATTAAAATTCTCAAAATCGAAACGGTTTTCTTTTCTCTTTTTTATATTAAGTTTTTGTCGAAGTTTCGCGATTACTAATTCATGATCCGACCCACATTCTGCTCCGCGATAAGACCGTACATTGATTATACTGCTTTGCCAGCTGTGTTGTATCAAGACATGATCTATTTGATTTCGTGTTTGCGAATCCGGTGATGTCCAAGTATATTTATGAATATCCTTATGTTTAAACGTCGTACTTTTAATTATCAGGTTTTTCGAGATGGCAAAGTTTATCAGACGGATCCCATTATCATTACTATATTCGTGCAAACTTTCTTTACCAATCGTCGGAATATAAACTTCTTCCCTTCCTACCTTTGCGTTCGCGTCACCTACAATTATTTTCATGTAGTTTCGCGGTAGTTTATCATAAACCCATTCGAGTTTATCGTAAAATTCACTTTTGACTTCATCGTCACTGTCTTCGGTCGGACAATGTATGTTTATTAATGCGATTTTAATCCAACGTCCCTGAAATATAGCTACCGAAATTCTATCACTAAAGAATTGTACGTCCTTCAAAGCGGATAGTAATCTACTCCTAATTAGAAACCCGGTACCCAAACAATGATTCCCGCTTCCTCCGTACCAAATGATGTACTTTCCTTCCCTCATCGAGCCCTCCCCTGGCCAGCGAACCTCTTGCAGAGCCACGACATCCAAATTGTACCCATTTACCTCATTCGCGACCGATTTTAGCCCCCCTGCTGTGTTTAAACTCCTTACGTTCCACGTACCAATATTTAAATCCCTATATTTCAACTTGCGCCATGAATCCCCTAAAGCAGTCCCCACCCGGAGACCCGAACGGGGGACTAGTTTACCTCCGGATAATGAGCGTTTTACCTTAGGGAGATCCATGACTATTTGTGGTGTTTGGTGAACTAAAGATATGTGAGTAGGGCGTTCAATCCTACGTCACACCCTCCAGCAAGTCTGGTGGGCCCCTTCCTCCAGCAAGTCTGGAGGTCCCCTCCCTCCAGCAAGTCTGGAGGGCCCCTCTCATTGTTGGTCAGCGAGTCCATCGGACTTAGCCGGGAGGAACTTCCAAGGAATTTCCACCGACCATCCCCACATCCGCCACCCGTGGGACGCTCCCCATACGCGGCAATGAGCCCGCGCGAGGTTAAGAATTATAACCATGTTGATATAATATTTTTTTTTATATTTGTTCTCCAAATTTCTAAAAATAGTTATTCGTTCTTTCTTGATGCAATGATTAGTTAATGGTTTTTCCCTTAGTATAAATAAAATAATTTCTTTAGTTTGATATGAATTTCTCTCCCTATTTAAATATTAATTTATTTTATTTTTTCAGGTTGACCTCTACCTACCATGACCCCTCATCCAAGTTCCTGAAAATCCTTAGCCGCAGCCAGAACAGGGATTACCTCATTCCCGAAGATTTCATGCCCCTCGTTCAAGATGTCGTGGATACACATCCTGGGCTAACCTTCCTCAAGGAAGCTGTAGAATTTCATTCTAGATATGTTCATACTGTAAGTAATTGTATGTAAGGGATGGGGTGTATTTTCTCTTTATAAAATAATTATTTTATATTATAAGACCTTTAGAATTGTTTTCATTTTGTCAAATTAATTATCATTAACTCTTTTTTTTTAGGTGATTTCACGAATTTATTATTGTGTGAACAGTTCGTGGACAGGCAGGATAACGTTACAAGAACTTCGTAAGAGTAACCTTTTGCCAGTTATCTCGCTACTCGAAAAAGAAGAAGACATCAACCAAGTTACACAATATTTTAGCTATGAACATTTTTATGTAATATATTGCAAATTCTGGGAGCTGGACCGAGACCACGATTTATTTATTGATAAGCATGACCTCGCCCGCCATAGTGATCATGGTAAATAACACTTCCTAACCATATTGCAGTATATAGCTGAAAAGGAACTGTATTGATAGTATTCAAATCTGCTCTTTTTTTATTTATTTAATATACCAAAATTTTATGAGAAAGTTTTCTGTCATGGATTCGCTACATTTAAAATTTCTATTTCGTAATGTTTCTATTTGCAACACAGGATTTTGTGTGCTCTCGTACCTTTTAAAATTATAAGGTTAAAAACTATAATTAATTTACATTTACTTATCAGAATTCTAAATTCTTATCAGAATTCTATATCAAATCTAGCCCTACTCATAAAATAAGCTAGCATAATTTATTTTGAACAATTTCTTTTAGATGTGTTTATTACTTGTCATTTAGTTGGTTAAAAATGATAAAGTAATAATAAAGAATTGCTCTTTAAATCGAGAGTGATTATTTAATAAATTAGACTTATAGGCAAAAAGTAAGGAGATAATAATTAATGTAAAAAGGTCAAAACTAGAAACTAATAAATAATATTTTTATTTCAGCTCTCTCTACCCGCCTCATCGATCGAATTTTTTCTGGTGCCGTTACCAGAGGAAGGCAGTCCAAAGATACAGACAAACAAAACAAGATGTCGTATACCGAGTTTGTTTGGTTTTTGTTAGCCGAAGAAGACAAATCTCATCCCAGAGCCATAGAATACTGGTTCAGGTAAGGAGATGTCCTTTATATTCATCTCTTTTGTTTATTAAATTTATCTGAGAGATCCATATAATTGAGGACATAAATACGTGCACTTATTACCAATAATAAAGGTAAATAATATATTTACTGAACAGCCTTATAATAAAAAACTTATATTATTATTACATAATATATTCTCTTCCCATCTTTCCGCAGACAATATTTCCTTGGATCTTTCCTATTCCAAACGATCAACACCCGACACCCTTCCTACATCTACAGTCTCCTACAGTTCAAACCCGTGGTCCTCTCCCTGAAAACAAGATCCCGTGTTTCCGACCTTTATATCCCTTCCCATAGAACTAAGACGTTTGAATATTCTTTTATTGCCCGATCCACTGCCTTCTGGAAGTCCTTGCCATCTGATATCCGCCATGCCTCTTCCTTGTCCTCATTTAAATATCATCTCTACCAATTCCTTCTCACATCCCAAAATGACGTTGTACAGTGAAATAAATATTGCGAAACAGATTTTGCCTGAGGTGAATGGTTGTTAAAATTGAGAGTTTTAATTTTAAAAATCAACCCATGCTTATATTATTTTGTTTTCTTTTTCATTTAAATAATGTTTTTTTTTATTTATTTTTTTTCAAAATGTTATTTTTACTTGTTTTAATCTAATTTTACTGAAGATACTGTATATATTCTTTAATATTGACTAATGTAATTTTTGGCCAGATGTAGTTATTATTTTTTTTGTTCATAACTGTTATTCATAAGGGACCTTCTCCCAGAATAAAGTTTACTTTCTATCTATCTATATATATATATATATATATATATATATATATATATATATATATATATATATATATATATATATATATATTATGTAATGATGGTTGACCGTGATGTAATACGAGAAGGAGTTGATCAGGAGAGTGCAGTGAAATAAATATTAAATTTTAAAAATTAGTATTTTTTAATTATTACTCCAACATTTCGACCCACCTTGCAGGTCTTCGTCAGGGCTACAAAACATAGAAGGTACATAGTGAAAATAAAATAAATGAATTATAAGTAGTTATTAAATAAGAAACAGTTGTCTGATAAAGAAATAATGAGATGACATCAGAGATATAGTGGGTGACAATGTAGTTAAAATACCAAGTATTATGTATATATAGAAGATAAAAACAAAAATAGAAAAAAGTATGAATAAAAATAGAAAACAAAAGACAATATAGTGTATTTGTCATTTCTTATCTTTTATCACAATCTATTTACTTTTAACTTACACACTATATTCTCCTACCTGCAAGATGAGTCAAAACATCGGCGTAATAATTAAAAATACTATTTTTTTTAAATTTAGTATATATTTGACCGCACCCCCCCCTGACTAACTCCTTCTCATATGTGTTATGTATAGTAATTAAAAAATTTCTTTGTTATCCTGTGGCAAAATCTCTTTAAAATAAAGTTAAAATCACATTAAATACTGGCCGAACTCATTATTATTATTAAAATGTAAGTTCAAATAAAAAGAAAATTTCTACAGTAATAGTGTGTAAGAGAATATGAATTTTGTAAATATAGATTAAATGATTGATGTTAAACATAGCAAAAGTTTCAGAGATGAAATAAGTGTCCCCCAAAATATAAAAAAAAAGTTTTAATTAATAGAGCAAATTTTATTTTTTTTTTTTTCCAGGTGTATGGATCTTGATGGTGATGGATATCTCTCCATGTACGAACTAGAATACTTCTATGACGAACAGCTCCAGCGAATGGAGGGAATCGGCATTGAATGTTTACCTTTCGAAGATTGCCTTTGTCAGGTAAATATAATAATTATTTAGAAGCTTATTTGTATAACCAGATTTTTTTACTTTCACTTACTGATATATAAAATATATACTAAAGAAAAGTATTGAGATCGTGATAATTTTGAAATCTCAGTTTTCAATGGAAATACACAACAGAGTGTGTGTTAACAGTCTAGGTCAAAAATGAAAAGTCCTACAAAAGTGAAATTGCATATTTACGGTTTGTATATGCCTGGGATGTTACAGCAACTTTTTCGACAAAATCGGCTAACCGGAAGTGGCACTTTATATCATCAGTTTAACACATTTTTACGATTTTCTCAAAAACAGCTCTGACGATTTTGATTAAATTCATTATATCAGTGTAAAATTAAGCAATTTTTAATATAATATAGGTTTTTATTCTCAATGATGTTCTAAAACAGGGCTTAAATGGCTAATTTTGAATATTAGCTTCCTCTTAAGTACCTTAAATTTTTTTTATTTGAAATAATTAACCATTTTACTCTGATGTAAAAAATAGTTATATAAAATATGAAAGAATTTGATCATTAAGTAAAGGAGAAATCTGAGATCGTAATGGATGATAGTTGTAATCGAGGAACCAAAGGAATACGAATGCATCCGAGCTCGCCCGAAAGATTAGAACAGGCCAGGTTCCATACGTAACATGAGCTTAATATAATACGGACTCCGACAATATTATGTATATATACATCTGCGGTTTTCATGAATGCTATTGTTGGTATTATTTAATATTTAATTGTAAAGATTACGGCAATATAAAAATTAATATTTATATATTTAAGGGTACTTAAACAAATTAAAATTCTCACAATGCACTATTATATAAAGAAATATACAGTCCATAATTTTTACATTCACTTCCCTTTGCCTGAAAATAATTATTTCTGCTAAGAAGAGGGTGATAAGTGAAAGTCGTGTGATGCGTGCGCCAGATTTTTTTTAGAAAATTTAGTGACCAGTTATATATTTATCTTCTCTCTCTGATATTTTGTCCTCACCTTTCAAGAACTTCTTCAGAGAAGGAAGGGAAAACTTATTTCTCTTTGATGAGGTTTACTGGTAATTGAGAGAAAAGTATCAGAAAGTCGATGTATATAAGTATGTTCTAAGTATAAATGATATATTTATCAAATCTGTTTTTACTTATTTATCAATAGATGCGATGTTAAAAATCTTATATACCGTTAGTGAAGATTAGATTATTATCTTAATTTGATTACTTGTACTTGTTCTATTATAATTAATATTATTAAATGTTATTTCTTGATGAATTTCAGATGTTAGACATGATCAGGCCAGAGGTCCCGGGGAAGATATCGTTAAGCGATTTGAAAAAATGCAAGATGACTCCCATCTTCTTCGATACCTTCTTCAATTTAGAAAAGTATTTAGACCACGAGCAGAGGGATCCGTTCGCATCGCAAAGGGATCACGAAAATGAGGTAATTTTTATTTATATTTCTGAAAGTTTTTCTTAATTATTCTGTATTTATTATTTTTGTTTTAATATCAGAAAATTTATTTGTTTAATATTTTTAATTTATTTTTCAAACAGTCAAGGGAAAGTGAACAGGTATTTTTTATATAGTATCTAAAATTTAGGAAATAGTGTTTTTGAAGGTGTAGTTAAAAATTAAAAAAAAAATATGTTACTGTCTTATTTATACCATTATGATTGTTTATGTCTCGTTAAGGATAGAAGAATCTAAATGAGATCAGGTTATATTGTAAGACCAAGAATAGAGGTAAACCAATATAAGAAGTATTTACTGTATGTTTTATTTCTCATCGCATCCATAACCATTTAAATTAATTAAAGTAATAAAAAATTTATGAATAATAGACAATTTTTTTTTAATCTTCCAATATGATATTTGTGAACATATAGAAAAAACAGTCAATTTTAGAAAAGATACAAATAGATTATTTACACTTATTAAAGTACCAGCTAGCTATATATACTGACAGGCAAAAAATTCCACCCACTTGTAAAAAAAGTTGTATTTGTATATAACACATGGTATTTTTAGATAATACTTAGTATTTATGGTATTTTATAATCTTTTTTACCTTTAATAATCAAAATGTGATTGGGTAAGAAAGATTAGAGAAATTGAAAAAACGAACCATTATTATTCTAAAAGAAATTAATTACATCATCATTTAGTAGCGCGTGTTTCCTCCTCTTGCCTTCACTACTTCTTAAAGACGCCTCAGCATACTTTCCACCAGTTGGGAAATGTCCCTTTGCTGGAGGATAGCCCATTCCACCCAAAGAGCCCTTTCAATATCCTGCAGTGTATCAGGAACTGTTGCACGCACTCTTATTCATCTTCCAAGGTTATCCCATAAATGCTCAATGGGGTTCAAATCTAGAGAACGTGCTGGCCAGGCTAAAACCTCAATATTGTTCTGTTGAAGGAACGTCTGCACTATGCAGGTGACATGTGGGCGTGCATTAGAATAGAACGATCGCCGATTTTGTTAAGGATAGGCAACACATGAGGTTCCAAAATCTCATCTACATAGCGAATGGCCGTCAAAGACCCTCCACGAACAACAACCAATTCTGTGCGGCGCTCCATTGAAATCCCAGCCCACACCATTAAGGAACCACGTTGGCTCTGGGAAAAATTACAGGCTGCATATCTTTCGTTTCTTCTTCTCCACACCCTTTCACGCCCGTCTGGAAATCGAAGAGCGAATCTTGACTCATCTGTAAAATGTACAGCACTCCATTCGTCCATAGTCCAATGGCTGTGTTCTCGAGCAAAAGCCAGCGGTGTTATAGACTGTGAGTTCTGGTCAACTCTGGTCCTCTTACTGGTCGAAAAGCCATTAATCCATACACATTTAATCTTCTCCAAGCGGTACGTTCAGAAATTTGCACACCTGGAACTTCTTCGGGATGATGAATCGCTTGAACAACAGTAAGGTGCCGGTTTCGTAAAATTCTCAAAGTCAAAAACCAGTCATCCCATGGTTCTGTTACCCTAGGACGTTCAGAACCGGGCCTTCTATTGTAAGAACCAGTTTCCCGAAAACGTCTGACGGCGTCTCGTAAAGTTTCATATGGAACTCCGATGGTATTAGCTGCATATCTAATGGAACGTCCATCATCAATAAGTGCCACACCACGCGCAACATCCTCACCACTAAGAGGCTTTTTTAAACTTAATATTAAAAAAATTAAAAGACTAAGAAATGTGCTGCAAGAAACGGCACTGAACTAATGATACTGAATAAACATTTTGTTTCCATAGAAAGTAAACATTGGAATCTAGAATCATTTCATTGAATTAAGGATTAAAGGTTATTGTCCTCTATATTAACATTCCTAATTGAAAACAAACAAAAAGATTACCTATTTATTCATTTAAAACAATAGACCAATCCAAAGCAGAAATATTTTTAGATGAAAACATAAAAAAATCAAGTGGGTGAAATTTTTTGCCTGTCTGTGTATATACAAGTTTAAAATGTATTTTATTAGAGTTTGTAAATGCATATTTATGAAGTAGCGCTGAAAGAGGTTTGGCAGTCGTACACCTCACAATGTAGCAGTCAGGCCACACCCCAAAATTCTCACTACAGCTTCCAAACTACCTGTTATTTATAGTTTTTAGCTAAATATAAACTTTTTTTTTATTTGAAAAGTCCTATCTCAATATTATATACATTCTTAATCACTTGAATTCTATTGCAGCTCAAATTTACAATATTTTTTTTCATGCAAGTATCCAATCATGGTAACTTATTCTTTAAATAATTAATATGAAAAAATGTCTGCTTGCTCTACTATTGAATTTTATATTAGTTAATTTAGTTGTGAAAATATAGATTTATTTAAAAAAATTTGTTTCCATACAGATGTCCGATTGGGACCGATACGCGGCTGAAGAATACGAGCTGCTGGTTGCTGAAGAAGGAGGCAACGATATTCAGGAACCACTGTAGGTCTTCATTTAATATTTATTATTATTTTTCTTCTCTCTGTAAACTTTATTTCGACTCCATGAAATATAATATATAGCTTTTCGATTAGCAATATTCTGTATGGGTGGTTATAGCTCTTGTCATTCCTTGAAGTTGAACGATTCAAAGATCTTTTTAATTTATATTCGATAAAAATGTCATCAATGGTTATTGTTATACACAAGAGGATAATTAAATGGCAATTATATTTAAGAGTCATAAAAATAATAATTTTCCGCAGTTTTTTTTTAATTGTATTATAAGTTAAATTTTTAAAATTCAAAGTAATCATTAAATCTGGAAGTTGAATTATTACTTCATAAATATTTCTTGGATGAACTCACTTTGGTCGAGAAAACGTGCAAAAGGATTTTGTTAGTTCATGAGACTAAATTTTTGACCAGAACAGATAAGCACTCCTTTTGTTCAGAGAACTTATTATTCTTAAAACATGCTATATATCTCATCATTTTTTTTTTCTTTTTTTCTATCGTGTTATTGTCAATTTGAGTCAGCCTTTGGTTTGTCCTATGAGGTAACTCAGGAGAAAATGTTTTAGACATCTGGGGAGGGGGAGGAGGTGTGCAATTTCATGTTGAATCGAAATAGAACATTTTCAAATAATGAAATTTTCATAGTATTGGACCCACTTTGGCAAATGGAACCGACATAACGATGCATGACTTAAGGTTTTCTTAAAAATTCGATTTGGATCTTGGGCTGACATGGTTACGTTAAATATTATACGATATACTATCTTCATTAATAGTATTACTACTGGAATATCACTTCAATATCGTAGTGAAACTAAAAAAAAGGGTTATTAAATTAAAAGGGTTATTAAGGAAAACGAAATTTAGAACTGTTGATATATTAAGATATAATCACAACTGATTTTATCTACAATCACGTTATATTTCTTAAATTGTTGTTAAAGAAAGTATTTGAGCCATAGCTTATGGTTGTAGGATTTTTAATAGTTCTCTAAACAGATCTAGAGTGATATTTATGATTACAAATTTTGAGCACTTGTTTTTGTTTCCTAATATAATGAGTGGCCTAAAAAAAACACACACAAAAAAAGGGTATTTCGTCGGGTATTTATTACAAAATTTTGATCACCTTCAAAGTAATTTCCTTTGACTATAATGCATTTGTTATCAGAAAAGGTTGTTTTACTAAAAAAAATTCTCACGAAAAAAATGGATACACTCATTCTATCCAAACTTCGCTCACTGACTTGAGAGTTTTCTCTCAGAAACACCCCTCTAAGAAACTAAATCTCCCACTGCACCTCCATTCCCGAAACCTCTGCGTCTCCCTTCAGCAAGCGATTGTGATGAGATATATTTATTTATTTGACAAACTTTAGAAAAACTATGTTTCGGCATCAAGACTTGATTTGTGCTTTTCCTTAATATATTTTCTCTCATTTTTATTTCTTCTCAATATTTATAATGCATTAGAAAGCACTACTTCCATTAATAGATGTAACTAATACTAAGCATTTTTGATTTTATATCGATTGCATGTTTGGAAATATTTGTATTTATTTTTTTTATTTTTATTTTTCATACTTTTCAACTATTTCTTTAAATGTTTCCATAATATTTCATTTTTCATATAATTCTTTATCTATAACTTATGTTATGAAATAATGGTTATATTTAATTATATTAATATCATTCGAGGGAAGAGGGGGATGTATAAGTTAAATCCATAATTTGTATGTAGTATTTTTTATACTTTATTTAAAAAACAAAATCAAATACATTTACTGGATTTTAATTTATTCGACTTGACTTTGGAAAAATCAGACTGGAAAATGATGTAGAGGTTGAAAATTAATTTGGAAAATGCTTTGCTTAATTTTGTAAAGATGCAATAATTTTATCGATTGGTGCTATCATCGTTGTATGTTGATTCTTTTCATGTGTGTTCTCTATATAATACTTTTACTGTAATTTCATTTTTTATTTATTATTATTTTTTTTAATAATATGATCTCAAATCTGATATTTAAACAAAACTGATAAAAATCTTTCAAACTATTTTTGTATCTTGTCACAATTATTATTATCTAGAATATTACAATTTATATTCAGAACGTGATTAGACTCCCCTCTACCATTGCTAAGCACATAATCCTTGTGGGACAGGGAGATTGCGGCAGTCCCCTGGTCGATATATTGACCGTAAATCTTATGACAATAATAATAAAGTTAAATAATAATAAGTTTATTTAAATAACATTTCACACTTCAGATAATCTTAAAATTATAAACTTTAGTATGGGTGATAAATATTCAGGACGCAGTATTTTTTTTTTTTTTTTTATTTTTGCCAACGTTTCTACCCAAACATGTGGGTCATCTTCAGGGCTGAAAATGTTTTTTAAAATAACAATCAGAGATATAATAGTATACGACCGCTAATTATAAATAATAAACTATAGTGATTGATGTTACATGAATTTTTACTAATATTGCAATACACATATTAAAATTAAATATGTAAATAGTTATACAAACTAAAACTAAAAAAAAAAAAAATAATGTATATAATCCATTTATACAAATTTGTGATATTTTCTCTTACTAACCGAGGTTTGAGCACTGAGGGTGTTCAAGTACTGACACATGTTTGGTAGTTAAGTAAAAAGGTCAGGGGTGGAGGAGTGATCTTTAAGTTAAGATTCATGTACCATCAATTACTATAGTTTATTATTTATAATTAGCGGTCTTATTCTATTATATCTCTGATTGTAATTTTAAAAAACATTTTCAGCCCTGAAGATGACCCACATGTTTGGGTTGAAACATTGGCAAAAATAAAAAAAATTAAAAAAAGACTGCGTCCTGAATATTTATCACCCATGATATATAGAACAGTCGACTAACTTCCTTCAAGAATAAACGGTACTTTTAGTCGAGGGGGCCGCTACTGACTGCTATCTGCCAATGTTTATAACCTGAACACTGATAACTCCCATAAAGCACTGATAAGCCTTCTTTTACTTCATATCTTCGTATTATTGTATTAAATTCATATTATTGAAAGTGTAAACAGATACAAAAACAAATTTAATAACAAAAAAAAATACTTTTATTTGACGACACATGTATTAATGAAATAATAAAAAAAACACTTTAAGAAGATATGTACATATAAAATATCAAAATGAAATAATAAAAGACACATTTAAAAGAACATATTTACATAGAAAAGAAAAAATATAAAACGAAATCGGTTTTATAAAAAGATAAAACATTCATCTGTTTCTCGGCAAACTCCACCAAACATCCACTGCTGAGATAAAACTCTCCCCACATGATTTTTTCGTTTAGAAAAAAGACTTTCTTTTACTTCAACCACTTTACCAGGTCCTCCAATTTTTTTTCTTTGCCTGTATAACATGTCATGGGCACAAACCTCTCTTAGACATTTGTTCCACGTTACCATAGCTCTGTTGAATAGTTTCAGCTGCTCTTTGGCCCACTTCATCGTTGTCAAGCTATGGGACCATCCATAAATCAATTTTAAAGCTGTTAAAAACGAAATCCTCGAGCCCTTCAAACATGTTCCTTTCCTTATTGAAAGTTTTGTGTCATAAGTCCTACGAAAGCATCTCCATTTGGCCTTCCTGGTTGACTTCATTCGATGACCTCGATCACACGTCGATTCACGTCGGCAAGTAACCCAACATTTTAAAAATATTGAAGTGCCTGTTCTTCTGAAGGCGTCAAATTCCATATTCTAAGAAGATCCATAATATGACGAAAAGAAACACAAAGGGGCCACAAACTAAAAAAAAAAGTGAAATAAACACAAACGGGTCAAAAACTAAAAATAATTAAAACTAAACACAAACGGACCAAAAGTAAACAATTTAATAAGTGAACGTAATAAGGGAATAACTGAAAACTAAACAATGCAATAACTGAAAGGTTTGGCGGGATAAGAAGAGGGAGGTTATGTGACGTGACGTTAGATAAGATAGATAAGAGGTGAGGTTTCAGTCCGGCCTGCTAGACAAAAAGTACCGAATAAACTTTAGTACTATTCTTTTGTTTATCGACTGTAGGAGAACCTATTAAAAAAACATAGATTAAAAAAAATTAAATAAATAATAATGTAAATAAAAATTAGGATAATTAATAAATTTAACAATAATAATAAAATAAAAATATATAAATGTAATATAAATATATATTTATATAGTTTTACTGTATTTGTTATTGATATGTGAGAGGGGTAGCTCCAAGATAGGTAGCCGATTTAGCCCAAGGGAATCTAGTTTCTTTGAGGATAATATGATTCGCTATAATAGACCTTCATTTGGTGAACATTATTGACAGTTAAAAAAATGGTGGATACAGAGCAGCTAATTATTAATTTAATGAATTATGTAATGTAAATGAAGTGGTGCCCAATTTTGTTTGGGGACCTGTATATACGTTGATAATAACAGTTCGAGGAAATTGATAAAATAATTCAGGCGGCAAACAGAAGCTACCATGATGACCACCGTGATACTAATCATCAAAATGATAGCTGATTCATTAAATTATATATAAATAATCGACTAAGATATGGTTTATATTATAATACATTGCAGTCAGTGTTAGGCATTCATCCTCGTGACACGTTCTGCCAATTATCACACAACATCCAATTGTGCGACAGCACTGCCATGACAGTGAATGCCATGACTGATTGTTTAGGGTTGGTTATTTTTTATTTTTTTTATAGTAAAGTTTGTGTATGTTTGAATTATTTTCTTATTTTTTTTTGGTGAGGGTGTTTGAATGCTCAATGTTTTACTACTTTTTTTAATTTATTTTTTATAAATATATCTGATTGTACAAAGGCTATTTTTATTGATTTTATTTTTCGGAATTAAATTATTACTTAAATGTGATCTATGTATTCAATTGTAATTTATTAAAAGAAAAAAATTCTATTGTTTTTTTTATATTAATTATTTGCTAATTATTGCAGAGAGGGTGACGATGAAATTTAGCCCTCATATCTCGATAAGTGATAATTGAATTAGTAAGTATTTTATAATATAAGTTTTTGTTGGATTGCGAAGCATGTAGTGATGATGAAGAGGACGAGACAAGTTCTGCTTTAACCGCATCTAGTCTTGTTTTGAATTTTGTTTATTTTCTGTATTATTATAAACGGCGCTAATAACTTTAACTAGTCTAATTCAGAATTGAAAAAAAAAAAAATATATGTAGATAACGCCTTTTACGGAAAGCGCACTTTAAGAAACAATTGCCAGAATAATGAAATTATGTACCTCTTAATTCATTTTGCATCAGTGCACTTTGGTCACAGACATAACTATATATTTTACAGCCTTTGTATTTACTTATTTAGTTTCTTTTATTTATTTATTTTTTAATTTAGCACCAGTAGTTGCCTAGGTTTTTTTTTGCATGGTTTGATAAAAGATTGTTTTTTTCATGCATGTAATATTTTTCTATTGCCTATTATGATTTTAAATTTTAATTCCACCCTTCAATATGATGTCTTTAACTCTAATAAAAAAATCCACAAAATAGGTTTATGAGTGATAAATATTCAGGACGCAATCATTATAAAGTTTTTATTAGTGCCGACATTTCAACCCAAACATGTGGGTCATCATCAGGGCATGGTTCGAGCTGTAAAATGAAATGAAATGTAGATCAGTCGACTATATTCCTTCAATGAAATAAGTTAATTTATTTAAAAAATATTCTAAGTACAATACTTATTGTTAGAATTAATATTTGGGTCTGAAAGTTATCGTGCAAAAATTTGAGTTATTAATATTAGGCTAAAATTTGTAGGATAGCTTCATAATTACTATTGTTATGAAAAATTGGACTGAAGCCTATGATATATACCTTCCTCCCTCTCCAATAATTAACACCTTGGCTGCGAACGGGATACCTACCTTCCCACCTCGGCTATCACCACTTAAAGCGGTAGGGGAAAGCCCTGCTTCCAGCGTTCGCCTTGTGGCTTGGTCAGTGCATTCATTGGTTCTCTGAAGCTAACTCAGTTCTGTCCTCCCCATTTCTGACCGTTTGTTGGAAGTTATCAGTTGCAGATTTATTCTGAACCCAAAATTAAATAGTAAGGTTTTAAATGTATTTTTGAAATCTGATATCTTTCAGGATGATTCAAAATAGTATTTTAAACAAATTTAAGGGGGGGAAGGTAATCCGTTTTTCCGAACATCTTTTTGGATTTTGGGTCATCGGGAAGAAACACTCATTATGAGATCTCGCAGTCTAAGGGTTAAGCCTCTATGACATTGGGTGAGTCAGTTAGTGCATAGTGCTAGCTTGTTAATTTATTGTACATCTTTGTGTTTCAGGCCTACAACTTTAATATTTGTTTTAATAAATTGACACATATTTACTCAATTATTTTTAACAATTCGTTTTCTTACTATTCCTATAATATTATCTGAAGATTGGCCCATTATTTATATGAACTTTTTTGTAGCTCTTGAAGTCTGTTATCATTCCTATAAAAATTTCCTTCTACTTACGGGACGGGACACCTTGTACATCACAAATAAGAGGCTTAATGATTTATTTATTTTATCTTCATAAGAATATAACCATGTATAACAAAAGTAGTAAGATATTAAGAAAACAACCTTTTTTTCTACAGTTCCATTTATTTTATCTTTTGTTCTCAGAAACTTTCGGTGCTCTGCACCATATTCATCTAAAAACTTTTTTAAAAGATTTATATATTGTAAAATATCTCATATATTTTAAAATAATAATAATAATATAACCTCGGAAGATCACTTTATACTTTTGGGATATTTCCTAAATAAATAAGAGGTTGTTATAATAATAAACAAAATTATAAGAGAATTAATATATTTATTTATCTCAGTTGTGGTTACTGACAATCCGATCAACTCAGACAAACTATTATTATTTACACTAAAATTAAACACATTGATTTTAAAATAAAGTCAAATATGGATTGGCAAGCTAACCTTTTTCAATATTATATGTTTCTTCCTTTGTGGCACTGAACTCATTTGTCTTCACACATTTTCTTATGTTCTGCCAAACACATATCCCAAAATGGTAACCCTATTCTTCCACTCAACTCAAGCTCTCTGGGAAATCCTCTCTCTTGCAATTCCAAACAACTATTCTCCCTGCCAAACAAGATCTTCTAAGATGGTAAAACTATTACTGGGTTTTACCCAATGGAGCCAGGATAGGATATCTTCTCTTAACCTCTCTTCACTGCAGTCACACAACAACTGCTTGCCAAAACAAAAACCTTTGTCCCTCTCCTCTTTGGGGTTTTCCTTCTTGGGAAATTACAGAGTAGCCATTTTCTTTTCCCTGCTCTAGTAGAACTAGATTAGCTTGCCTTTTAACTGTTCAACATTAATTTATTAAATCATTTTTACCCACTTCCAATAAAGGTGTATATTACAATATATACATTATTAATTATATATACACATTAATTACGTACAGATCTAATACATTGTAATTATTAATTATCGCTTAGGATTCTGCCCTATTTCTAAATATCTTTATAGGCTCATTCCATCTATTCTGGATTTTGAAAGATTCAGGACGCAGTTATTATAAAGTTTTTATTAGTGTCGACGTTTCAACCCAAACATGTGGGTCATGATCAGATCGTGTTTCGAGTACTGAAGGTATTCAAGTTATCAATATTAAAATATATACTACAAACTCGTAAATGCCCATTTGCTTTTCACTTTGAACATAAGGTAATTTCATAACAAAATCAATATAAAAAACCGTGGCCTACAAGAATATTGGACTGTTTGGCCTATATAATCTCTTTATTCTGACAATTTGGGGATGTAGGTCACGTCAAACGGCTCAATATTTTTGAAGGCCACCTTTTTTCTTGTCTTTGTGCTCAAGTTATCTTACAATTCAAGTGGAAAGCAAATGGTTATTTACGTGTTTTTAATACCTAATTTAATAGACAAAGTTTGCCGACCTGATTGAAAACGCCCCAATTCCAAGAATTTTCATAAATAAAATATTTGTAGGTTACAATGAGATGAAGCTATTTATGAAGTTTGAGGCGGATGTTAATAATTTGATAAAAAGGGGCCTTTACCACGGACTATATCTATTTTATGAATAAAAGTGTTTTCCTAATAGTATTTATACTCAAAGATATGGTGAAGAAGTATAGATATCTATTGCACTGCTATATATATTAACTTTACTTTTATTATTTTAAATTAAAATTCGTACAGAAGACCTGGTGGTTTATACATTATAGTCAACAATATGTAGTTTTCTTAGTTTTAGCCAAAATAAAGATTAGGACCGGACATAAACCTGCTCTATATCCAAAACACAGTATGACAAAATTCACTGTAAATTGCTGAAATGCTAGTTTTTTCAGCATGTTTTTTTTCTATTTGGATAAATATACGTTTCACTTAAAAATATTTCTACATTTCTTAAGTTTCCTTTTTTAAAATAAGATTGTTTTTTTCAGTATATATGGGTACTCGACCGAAGATGATATACTGTCACCCAACTTGGATGAAATCATGAATGGAGGAACTTATATAAATAACAACAGTAAGCTGTTCTGGCACCAGCCTAACGTTACTGTCACTACTTATGACGACTTGAACGATTCCGAGGATTATGCAGATAGCGACAGTCCCGTATTTGACTAAAGATGAGCCGGTTGGTATGGGCAGTCGATGTCTGTTCGTTGAGAAGAGGTCACGCCTGATGTTCTGATGTAAACCATTTATAGACTCTCTTGTGTTAAAAGATATTAAGTTGAACGATCGTTGACTGAGAGTTGAAAACAATCAATTTTGTATCATTTTTTGTTAGGATACAATAATGATTATTTGTAATTTACAATATAAACTTCTTCTTTTTTTTTCATTTATTTAACAAGTTTTCACTTTTTTAAAAAGAAATCTTTAATGGTATCCTAAAAGTTCCTAATTACATATTAATAAAAGAGTATACATGTCACAACAAAAAATTATTAATTAATTTTAATATATTTTATTTAATTGTTATTTGTTAATATATGTTTTTCATTTATTAATTGACATTAATATATAATTATTACTTTATAATAAATTTAGTGCTATTAGAGAAAAGAAATTTACAATTTTATGTTATCGATAATGTTAAAAATTGTTACAGTTATCTTGATATGTTGTGTGTTTCTCTTTACAGCTAAACAAGTATTTTGTATTGATGACTTTTTAAAAATTCTTTACTCGGTAATTTTAGGTGTTTTATTATCATATTTATCATATAATTGCAGATAATAATTGATTCGAAGATTTGTTATTGATATTAGTCTTATATAACTATTGTTATTTATATTTATATATATATATTCTACATCACCATCTATCATGACCGTAGTCGTAACTCTGTAAAAAATGAAACCGGAACTGAAGGCGTGAAGGTTTCAGTTTAGCTTTATAAATGTGTGTACCTGTTGAAATATTCTTTTCTATTGTAAAATTGTAATCTTTCTTCCATTCGGCATCTTCCAATTCTATTTAAAATATATTACACATAAGTCTTAAATGGAGTACTGTATTATGTATTATGTATTTTTCTAATTCTCTTTATCTAACTTAATTCTCTTCATATCAAGAAATATATTTTTTAAGCTTTGAAATTCAGGTACACTTGAATCTCTTTGTATTGAACTTGGGAGTTCCAACTTAAAAAAAAAAAAAAATGTGATATAGAAAAATTGGAATTTTTTTTATCGTTTGATCACGAAAGTAATAAGTCATAGAAGCGATTCTTATGCCAGTTTCTGTTCCTTGAAAAGTGATTAAAATTATATTTAAATTGAGTCATGCTCAACCAAATGAGTTATAGATGGGTTTTAATTAGATAAGTCCATAAAGTTTTGAGAAAAAAATATTGTAAATTGGACTTTTTTTTTTTAAATTTAATCAATTGATTTTTGATCAATCTATTGATTTAATAGAAATATTTTGGGTTGAATGAGATACAATGAAATTAGGTTAGTGGCAAAAATTTATTTCAAAGTTTCCAAAGCCATTGATTTTTTGAATGACGTGTATTTACTTTTATGATTTCAATGAATCATAAAATAAAATTTAGGGAATTTTCGTTTTAGTTCAGATTATTGTCAAATCCATTTAGAAGGCATTTTTTTATTTTATACAGCAGTTTGTCTATAATTTTTGTCTGAACGGTATTTTTCGGTAAACATAATTTTTATTTTAGTTTTTGATTAACTTTTGACACTACTTCTAGAGTTATTGCATACCACTTCTGAGAAACATTTTTATCACTCATTTACATTCTTAAAATATTGATGGATTTTAAACTTTATAATTGCTGAAAGCACTTGAAGAAATAACATTAAAAAATAAGGAAACGAAGACGGGAATCTTAGAAATATTTTTATTAACAATTATTCGATAAAATTAGCAGAATGTTCACTGACAATATAATTTATTTTCATTTTATATATATAAATATATATTTTAACTAATGAGACTTAGAATTCACTTTTACTTAATAATTTAAAGTTATCTTGTAGATATTGGTTAAAGGAGGTAACTTCAAAATAACTTATTTTGCGATGACGTAAAACAGGAACTGCCTTTATATAATAAAATCAATTACACTTGAATCTTTAGGGTTGATGGAAAAAATTACCAAACTTTTTTTTTTCATATATATAAAAATATTCAGGGTAAAAATGTTCTATTTGTGGACAGTTAAGGAAAACATTAAATTAATGGAACATTCTACTAATGAATTTTATATACATCATCTTTTGTTTGATTTATCATCGGTCTCAACAAAAAACTGAGACGTGATATATAAAAAAAAATTAAATTTTCATCATATTGTTTTTGTTTTTTTAATAATAAATATTTATAAGTAATACAATATTAAGTATAAAGAAATCAACTATTAATTTCTGTTCATACGATTTAGATCAAAATAACATTTAGTACTTAGCCAGTTCTACATAGAGACTGGTGATAATAATTTTTATTTGAAATGTAAAAATTATTCTTAGTTAATAAAGAATTTCAATGCATAAAAGTTCAATCCAAAGAGGTTCAATTGTATACCCATAGAATGAGAAATACAGGCATGTTATATACACCATATAAAAATTTTCTATTTCTTTTTTTCTTTCTAATATTTCTGTTTTTCATTTATCTCTTTACTAACCAAAGAAAAAATAAAACCACTAGCAGGGATAATATAGTCGAGAAGTTTATTAAACTCTTAGTGTTTCTCACTCTGTGGTTACGTTAGGCTTTATCAGTCAGTTAATAGCATTAAAATGCCTTACTTTTAATAATGAAAATAAAATGTGTTCAAAATAGGGTAAGTAGTAACATAGTCTAGTCTAAAGCATTAGTACAATTAACCAAAATAGAATCAGAGAGTCCCATATAATCACAGAATCTGTTTTAACTACATATATTTTAATCGTATTAATTACTTTTTAAATAACCATTTCATCTTATAGGTGTTATATTCAATTAACTTTAAGGGCCAGTTGTTGAGACAGGATTGTATTATAGATGTGGCCCCTCTTGTAAGGTTGTGTAACCTAACCTACGTGACAGGTTTAGGATATGCTCAGCTTCTTCAGAATAAAATTGATCTGTAGCGAACTTGCTGTGAGGTTTAACGGAAGCTGCCATACATTTTTTTTAGTCGTGGATTAATTAAGTCCAGAACTAAATCAAACCTAGACTCAACAACTGTCTCCGAATATTAATAAGATCTTACTGATGATATAATATTATATAACAAAGTAATTTATTGTATTATTTTTTTATATTACATAATATACAATCTAATAGCAACATAGTGTTAGACAATACTGTGCGTTGAATTGAATAGAGTGGTGGATTTTGTGATTTGGTCTCGTCTCTTGTATTGTCTCTAGCATCGTTAAAGAATCTCTCGTAACTTCAAAAATTTAATAGAATTAGCATCATATAAGATTTTTAAAAGAAAAAATATTAATTAATGTAGAATGGCTCGATATATATAGTTGATAAATATTTTGATCAAATTACAAAATTTCAGTCATTCTAATAACATTATTTTATCAATACTGCGAGGAAAAAAAAAAACGGGGAAAATCAAAAGAATGTGTCATTTTAATTTAATATTTTTTTATTTGTTTAATCCTCGTCCCTGATTAGTTGTGATGAATAGTTTATAATATCAATGTATATAGTGTTTTTAGGAATTAAGAGTTGTCATACATGATGAGCGTGTTGTGTGCTGAATGTAAAATATTTAATTTCTAAATAACAAAAAATTAATTTAATTCATTTTAATGAGTAAATGTTACTTTATTATGTTTTTTAAAATAAAATAAAAACCAAACTTTGTCCTTATGAAGAACTATTTTATTGTGTGTAGCATGATTTTTAAATGTCAAGTTGCATATTTCTTTGAACCTTTATTTATGATTGTTTTCTTTTCATTTCTTTTTTTTAATGAGAAAATGACTTGATATAATGTTTGTAATATTTGTGGAGAGAAGAGGTATATATTTACACTCTGGTTTTTTGTGTGTATATATTGTGAAAAGTGTTACATAATGAGATATTGTGTACCAGTGTAGAATAGGTGCTATAGATACGTTACGATAATACCCCAAAGAATTTTCCTATGTACAAACGATATATATCATGCATATATATGTGTATATGAACAGATAGACTAACAATTTAGATGTAAACAACGATTTTGTATTAATGAGATATTTTACATGAGCTGTAGTTTCATATTTGTTTTTCTATTCATGTTATAAAAGTGTTCTAGACTGATCTAGAGTTTTTAAAAGTTAATTTAGCATTTGTAACTCTGTTACCATCGTATGTGAAAAAAAAAAAAATTAAACTTGAATTTGTTTTTAATACCTTTTCACCCATACTGTACACCAAGGTTTTACTAGCAAGAGCTAAAGAATTAATGTTGAAAACAAAAATAGTTCCGTATCATACTTAAATGATAGGCCAATTTAAATTTATTTCTCCTTAAACATAAACAAAAACTGTTATATTCAAGACAATTTTAATCTTAAAGAAACCTTTTTAACTCAAAAATAAATTTTTTGTATGAACTCTCAACTATTTTTTTTATATAGTTTTATTAAATATTTATTTTTTATGAGCAACTTAATTTAGGATGTTCAATATAAGTGGGAACTTCTTAATTTTTATATTTAAATCAATAATATTTATAACATTCATTAAAGATTGTTTAGGTAATGATAAAAACTTTATACATAACCCAAGCAAATTATTATTATACGATCATTTTCAAAAAGAATTTTATTATTTTTAGAAATTCTTATTTATTATTATTTATATATTTACAACTGTATAAAAAAAAATTCATCTAGTAAATTCGTACATGGATATAATGACATGGAACACATGTTGAGAAACTACCCATTGGTAGCACTCTAATAATATGTCTATATTAGGAGATCACGGGGCCATCTTCTTTTCAGATGCCTCGGAGGGTTATCAGGAATTGAAGAGGAAGCAAGGTTAGAAACAAGAGGGTTGGGATGGTTATGAAGTTTATTATGGAAGGACAGATATCTGGTTTGGGCCAAATCTGAAACATAAGGAACATTAAGGTCATTGTGGATAATTTTATTTGTAACAAAATAATTAGCATTGAGTATTTTACGAAGGATTTTGGATTGTAAGGATTGGATACGAGAGGAATTTGAAGGTTTGGTAGAGCCCCATAGCTCAACTCCGTAAGTCCAAATAGACATGGTCATGTATATGAGTCTTTTGTAATTCATTGGAAGGTTAGAGCGTTTGTCTAGAAAGTGTTGAAGTAGTCGGAAACGTCTAGCGTTTCTTGTAGTTTCAGTCTGATTCCAAGTTAGATGTTTGTCCAGGTGTAGTTCTAGGTAACGGATTGTTCAAGGAACAAGTGAGGTGTTGAAGGACAGGAAGTTATTGGGTTATGATTAGAAATTCTAAATTACAAAAAAACATTCAAAATCATCTTGAAATACCATACTATATATTATAACGGCAGCCAGTACACATTAGAGTAATATTTAAAATCCTTTACAAAGTCTAATTCTTTAAATATTCTCTCTTTATTTTACATTTTCTTTGTTAGTCCTTTACAGTGCTAAACGTCATTTCTAAAACTTGAATATATCAATAAATGAGAGTAAGGATTTTCAGTCAAAAGTATGTTTAATATGGTTGCCAACATTTGAACCCAACCTATTGAATTATCATCAAATAATAAACTAATTTTCTCTGGACATTAATAAACAAACACATTTTGACTGAAAATTCTTATTATCCAAAATAGCCTATGAAAATTCATCTCTAAAGTACTTATATCAACAGATTGTATAATGAAAAAAAAACACCTATTTTTATTATAATTATAATTCAATAAAAATACATTTCTTGAACAAAATTGACCATATAATTTTGCAAACATTACTATATCTTGTAGTAGTTGATATTTGTGGAAAATTAGTTTCTAATTCAAATAATGCACTATGTCAATTTATATTTTGACTGCATTATGAGACGGTAAGTTCTCTCATTGGTAATTTATTTTAAGCTCTAAATATATATATTATATATTACATATGTCGGTAAGTGAAAATAAGACAATCAAAGAAACAATCATGGATCATTTTTTTTTTTTTTTTTTAACATGCCTGTCTTGGGCTATTTCTTTCCATTTATCTATGCGCAGCTCCATTGTATTTTTGTTGATTCCACATGGTCTTCTGTCTTTTATTGAGGCATTCATTGTTACGTAGCTTCCAGATGGATTGCTACGAACTACAGCCCATCTTAGCCTCCAGGCCTTTACATCATGGGATATTGATTGGCCCAGATCACTCAGGTTATCATGCGGAGGATTTCTCTCTCAAATCTTTCAACACTTTTTTTTAGGGTGCTGGTTAGTGTCCAGGTGACATATATTAGAACTGGCTTTGTCACAAATATAGATTAATGAAAAAACAAAAGATTTTTCCTTTTTGGGAGGAGGCTTCAGCTTGAAACCCCTCTGTAGATCCTCCAGTTCTTTTAGTAAATATGTTTAAATTAAAAGAACATTATTTCAAATAATTGTTATTATTGTGGAGTAATAAAAAAATATCCAAGGATAACGATCTACTTTTAGAATATTTTCTTTTTCTTGAAAAATCTGTTTTTATTCAAAGTAAACAATCCTATCATGGAGCATAAATCCATGTCTATTTATAATTTATGTTTAAACTATGATAATGTAATGCAGTTGTTTGATAAGTTATACAGAAATAGGCATATCACCAGATTTTTATGTGTGTAACATGCATGTTTATCAGTTACTTGTGGTTATCATTTTATCAGATTGGGTTTGTGAAGTATTAATCAGTCTTTTCATATTTATACATCAAAGTTCATGAATAATTAAATTTAATTTTATAACTTTTTTATTAATCCGTAATACGGCCATTCTTATTAAAATGTATTTTTCTTATCAGATAGTTAAAATAATTATTGATTAATTTATTCATCAATGAAAGTATCTGTGGAAATTTTAATATTTTGTTAAAATAACTTAGCTAAGTTTTTAACTAAAATTATGAATTAATACTCTGATTTAAGACATTATAAATATAAATTTTTTTGACCATATGAATATTCAGTAGTTTCTTTTTATTATTAATAATTTGAAATTCTGTCATTATCAATAAATGTGGATTTATTATGGTTACTTCAGCAAACTTTATTGATAGTGCAACTTAACTATTAAAATTAAAAGACGATTTTAGCTCCTTTTTTTTTTAAATCAGTTTTAAATAATGTTTTAGGACAGAATTAAGTTTGGAAAAATTATTTAGTGTAAGAAGTATGGAATAAATAATGTGAAAGGGGTTCTAATATTTACTGCTATTCAAAATATTAGAATCAATGACTGACAAATTGTTCATAATTATAATAAATTCTAATATATGTTACAAAAGTTTATGCAGTTTTGGAGCACGAAGCAAGTTTTTTTCCTTAAAACTATACTGTTTACAGCCATACAGCTTCTTGAAAACCAGTTTTTGGTTAACCGTTTTTCTTATAACTAGTTTATGGGAACAAGGGGTCCTTAGAAATTGATATGGTGACTATGACAATAATATTAAAAATCACTTATTTAATTTCTAACTGAACTATTGAGCCTTCAAGAAAATACAAAAAGTGTAAATTAATAGAAAGTTTGGAGAACAATATCTTTTTTGCCACCATTTTATTTTTTATGTCTAAAAAAAAAATTATGAATATATTTTAGAGAAATAAATATATTTTGAAAAATCATGCAATTGTTAAAATTATTAAATGTAGTTGTGTAAATCACTTTTATAATGGTATATGAATGAAAACAATGTAATAATAAGTTACAAGAGTATTGTCAATATATCACCTAGCCAATTCAAGTATCTTATGTCGTTGATAAAAGTTTTGCAATAATGTAATTTGAAGAATTGTCATTATCTTGCCATTTTATGTTTAAAATAGTTTTTTTTTGTAAATATTTTCTGTTAAACCATTTAAATTATAATTTTATCGATAAAAATCAAGAATGAGAAAACAAAAGATTGCGATTGTAAACAAGATTTAGCTGTGAACTTTAAATCCAGATATAAATAACTAAACAACTCAAAGAATTTCCTTTCTGTAAATTTGGCTCATGGGTTCATAGGGATTACTTAGAAACTCGATATTACAAACTAGATTGGTGCATTTTTAATTTAAAAATTATAAATAAGGAAATTAAAAGATTGAAATTTAGTGGAAGTAGTCCTTATAATTATGAAAATACATGTATGATTTTAAATCAGATTATAAAACTGAGAAATTATCAAGGGTGGAATTTTTTTTTTAATGGATCAATTTTTAAAATGAAAAAAATACTTATATTTTTTAAATATTATGGATGGATTCTTGTTTAGTTTGTTTCCCCCTGTATCATCCATATCATTATAAAAAATATATATTTATCAAACGTTCTTTTGCTTTATATGGAGATTTTATGAAAATATAGAAATATTTTGAATATTTTTAGAAGTATTCAGATTCGAAGTTGAAAATAATATAACTATTTTTCAAGCCATTTATGATCTTTGGGATTAATTTAATTTATATATCAAATTCGTTGTGAAGTTTTTATATTGACAGGTTTTCTTTCCTTTCTCTTAAACCAGAATCCCGTTATTTTTCGCGAACTAGTCTTCAAATCGTCGTATTAGAAAGTTTTTATATTTTTTATAATTTAAAAAATAAGGAAAAAGTATATTTTTGAAGATATTATCAGTAAGAAAAATTGATAAAATGAAATCGGGAACAGTGCTGCTAATTGGTTTGGCGGCTTAATTGATAAGGAACTGCCCTAGAGGCTACAGACAACTCCAACATAACCAGCATGTTAATACTTGTTTATTTACGTTTTGTTTTCAGAGGTCTTCAGTTTAGATTAATATTTTTGTTACAAACAGTTGGTTATATCGATAATGAGTGAGTTTATTGTGATACAAGGTAATGTCTAATCAAATTATGCTGTATATAAATCATTTGAGTGCACCTCTCAATGTTAGCTTTTAATTTTAGTTGGACAATGTGGCAATCAAATTGGAAATGCATTTTGGCCTTTAGTGCTTTATGAGCACGGGATATGTGTAGATAAGTTGGTGAAGCCTTCGTTGAAAGCCGTCCAAGACGAAGCATTTCATAGCTTTTTCGATTCCCCTTCTTATAAAAAATGTCATAACATAGAAGATTTAAAGCGATGCAAAGTAAAAGCAAGGGTGAGGATTAGGAAAGATATTGTTATTTCATTTTCAAGTCAGTTTGTATATTTAGATGTCCCTGTTGTCAAACCATTTTAGGCCATACTAATCGATATGGAAACGAGTGTTGTGGAGCGATTTCATAATTGTAGACTGAGAGATCTTTTCGATAGAACATACAGTATTACTGATTCTCCTGGTTCTGGAAATAACTGGTACATCATTTGTATATATATTTTTTTATTATATTTATATTTTTGTAGCTGCAAGTGTATTTCTGTTCTCTTATGCCTTATTTCAACAATTAAGTGATGCTTGTTGCAAGACTACTAACAGTTCTTTTGTCTGTAGCTAATATTTGATATATACAAGAGACCGTAATGAAATCGCATCCAAGTTGTTTTATATTACTTCCATATTATCTTGATAATGCAGTCTGGAGCATCAGTCTGCAGATCCCAAGTTTTATAGATTTCACCAATATAGCTAGACGAGGAAACATCCTTAATTTTGAAAATCCTGATTCTAGGTATTTTTTTATTGTATTTAATTTGCATTAGTGGCGTATCATTTTATTGCATGGTGTTGATAAGCATGGGTTAGGTATTTCAATGTATATAACTATAGGACTGATGCACCAAACTGCATTTTATATTATTCACTTTTGTACTTCTTTTAGATTTTGTATAAATCGTTGACCTTGCCACCTATTAGTCACTTTGTATCAGCTGAGTCATTCTATATTTCTTTGATTTCATATTTTTGTTATCGAGTTCTTGATATTTATTAAGAGCTCAATATCATTTATATGACTTCATATTGTATCTATATTTATAGTTCTAATCATTGTTCTTTTTCGTGCTTTGCTATGTTTTGATTTATGTATTATTTTTGTGTATTCTATTTTTTAAAACCTATTACTAATTGTAAGATTTATTTTTATTTTTTCAAATTTTTAACAGCTTATTATTTAAATGTATGTAAACCATGGGAATTCTTATTTAATTTAGCAGTTTCTTAACATAATTAAAATTTAAGTATCTTTTTCTCACTCGAATACATTAAATGTAATATCTGAAAATCATTCAAAGAAAAAAAAAGGGTACTGATTCTCAGGTGCTACTCCAATAGGATCACATCGATCATACTGTATCGAGGAATGCCGAAATTAGCCAAATATTAACAATTATGTGAATATATAATGACTGTGTCCTCACTGATATAGAATGTAAAGGTTAGGTTATTTTAACTGCCTTTCAAGGAGGGAATAATTAGCATGATTCGTAGTTATTAGAATTATAAATACTTTATTTTGTTAATTAAGTTGGAAACAGAAGGCATAAATTTGAGTTCTCATTAAATAGCTCCGTCCACACTGCTTTTATTTAATTCTCATTACACAGGCCAACAGTAGTTTTGGTACTGGGTTATTTCGATCTGATTTCATATGAATTTGGTTTCCTAAATTCAAATATGGAATTAGTTTTTGCCTAGAAGGTCAAATTTCTAAGTATAACATTTCAGTGAAATGTACATTTTACATTATATTACGTTAAATCCATCAATCAAATCTAAACATTAAACATGAATTCTTTATTGTTATATTTCACAGATATTATAAATATAAAGATAGTACCAAGTCATCGATGGAACCAACTAGGCACCCAGCAACTCAAAAGATTCTTTTTCTTGACCTTGAATATATCTTGGAACAGTTCTCTTCTATATTCCAATAATGATCTGCCATCATGAGCAAATACCATCTTCCTTGATAGCGGTACTCCATAATTTTAATATCTTGATGATATCTTTCACCCTGCTTCTCACGGCTGTTTCCTAAATTTTCAGGAAAACGCTCCAGGTAACTGCATAAATAGTGCACCTTAATACTCATGTTGTACCCAAGGAATTTTAAATTTATAAGCACATCGTTTACTAGTTCAACATGGCTTTATATTCTTCTTCTTCGAACTTCCCTCAAATGATGAGGTCTCGAATTAAGAATATACACTCAACTGTCTTTCTGAGATCCACCATAGAGCTTCAATGTCAGTGGGATTTGGCCTAATTAGCTTTCTGATGTCCTCCACCTCAGGATATGCTCTGTTTTCTGGTACAGAGAGGATTTTCTCCACTTTTAAATATTTCATTGAGATGTACCCTCATCCTGTTGTGTCCTATTCTAAGAACTTGTAAAACTTGCTCAATCTATAATAATCGTCTTCAGGATTATAATGTGGATGCGCACTATTCCACCTTTATCATATACTAGCCCTATTTATAGAAATGGTCTACTGAGGAGTTTGAGGAGATGTAGCTCCTTTGCTAGCTGGTCGGCTATTTCATTTCCAATTACTCCGCAGTACCCACCCTTTGGTATTTTATATTGGATTTTATATTTAGTACCTCAAGTATAGCAAAAATCAGTTCCAAAAGCTTAGGCACCAAAAAAACTGTTTTTCTCTTGTAGGGCTATGTTATCTTTACAAATATACATCAGAAAAAAATCTTACTAACTTACTATCACTTACTAAGCGAAAGTTCTTGTCAGTGGAGATGATTAACTGTTAAGTACCTGATGATAATCAGATAAAGATTTGTTATTTATCTTTTATTTATTAGTCAATTGTGTTCTAATTAATACCAGTAATAATTTGAATAACTAATTATAATTCCAATAAATAGATTGTCATCATTTAGTGGCATTTTTTTGCATGCTGTTGATAAGCATAGTTTAGGTATTTCAATTTATATTACTACGTCCAAAAATAAAAACAATATAACTGTAAATCTTATTTATCTATTATTATTGGTTAAATAAAACTGTATTTTTATTGGTTAAAAATGAAAGATCAGTTGCCTGCATCTACTTTTGGAAACACTTGGCTTCTTTCATAATTTTATATACAGTACGATCATGTGATCTTGTGGCTAAGTGCTCTATAAGAGTAGTTTCTTTGCAACTAATAACGACGACAACAAATTAATCCTTGTAATTGCTATAAAATAGTCATTGTAAACTGTAATTAATTAATTTTCAGGGCATTTGGCCACTATGAAGCTGGTAACCTTCATAAAAATAAAATTAGAGAAATGATTAGGTCAGCAGCAGAATGTTGTTCTTCCTTAAATGGATTCCTTCTATTTTTCTCCCTTGCCGGAGGAACAGGTTCAGGTCTCGGCACTGCAGTTCTTCAATATTTGCAAGATGATTTCCCGAATATTGATCGGTGAGTTTATTAATAGAGAAATTATTTGGATCTATTTGATGAAGTTATTTTTTACAATGTTTTTTATTATTTTTTTTATTTTAATGAAATTTACAACTGCATTACATGGAAAATAAAACAAGTAAATGTGACATTGGTAACATGACATGTAAAACATGAAGAGAAACTACCCATTAATAGAACTCAAATAAAGTTCTATATTAGAAGGTCCCTAGGCCATCTTCTTTTCAGACGTCTCGGAGGGTTATCAGGGATCAAGGAGGAAGCAAGGTTTGAAACGAGAGGATTCGGATGGTTCTGCAGTTTGTTATGGAAGGATAGGTATCTGGATTGGGCCAAATCGGAAACATATGGAACATTAAGGTCTTTATGGATGATTTTATTTGTGACAAAGTAAGGAGCGTTGGGAATTTTACGAAGGATTTTGGATTGTAAGGCTTGGATACGAGAGGAATTCGATGGTTTAGTGGAGCCCCAAAGCTCAATTCCGTAAGTCCAAATAGGTCTTATTATTGTCATATATATGAGATCCTCTTCCAGGTCATCCAGCCATCGTTTCATAGGATGTCCTCTTTTCCTTTCCCTGGACACCTTCTCTCCCATTATTCTCTTTGTCATTCTATCATCTTCCATTCTCTGTACATGACCAGCTGATTCTTTGTGATTTTATTAAGTATAATATATTTCCATGCCTTATCAAGTCTTCCAGCTCCTGTTTATTTCTAATGTGCCACACACCCTTTACCAACTGGACGAACTGGACCATAAATACGCCTTAGGATCTTCCTTTCAAACACACTTAGCATGTGTCGGTCTGTAAGTTTTAGCGCCCAGGTTTCTGCGCCATAGCAAACAACAGGTCTGACTAGTGATTTGTAAAGCTTCATCACGGTAGCTCTAGATAGATGTGGATTTATTTCACTAAAAAAAAATTTATTATTTTTTTTATTTCATTAAAAAAATAATAAGATGAAGATCCTTTGTATTTTTTAACAAATATACTATTGATTATATTTTAATTTTTTCTCCTGGATGGTATATGATTTACTAGTACGAAGTAAAAATAAAAATAAAAAATCAGTATGATGAAAATATGATATTATGAATTTTTTTGTTGACCGACTATTATGTTCTTACATGCTCCTTCTACTTCTGCCCTCATTACTCTCTTCCTTGACTTCTCAGGATGATTATTTTTTTAAATAATTTTACCTATTTCGTTCAATCCCTGTTCTGTCACAACAATTAACAACTTGTTGATTATTTTTATCGATGAGTTACAATTTCAATTGTTAAATTTTAAAATACAATCGTTACAAAAGGCCTTGTGTGACTGATAACAGGCTTTTTCTTGAAGAAATCATTGATATAATTGTATCATTATCTGATTCATTGATGAACTAACTGGCCTGAACCAGGCTATGAACTGGACTGCATTTGAATGAACAGGTTTTTTCTTAAAGAATTCATTAATATAATTGTTTCACTATCGAATTCATTAATATAAATTTATCACTATGTGATTCATTGTCGAACTAACTGATCTAATACCTTTAACTGGCCTGGACTGGACTTCTTTAGCCCGCTGCACAAACCTCTTTTTATCAAATTATTAACATCCGTCTAATACTTTGTGAATGGCTTCATCTTATTGTAACCTACAATGTTTTTATGAATAAAAATTCTTGTAAATGGAGCATTTTCTCATTAAAGTAATTATTTTAATGAGGTACTAAAAACTCACCTCACGAATGCCTTCATTTGTTTGACATGTTGGGGATGGAGGTCATGCTATGAACGACTGAATATTTTTGTAGGCCACCTTTTTTCTCTATTTAACAGTTCAAATGGAAAGCCAATGTGTGTTTATGAGGTTTTAGTACCTCGTTAAATAGACAAAGTTTACCGATCTATACATTGAAAACACTTCATGTCTGAGAATTTTCTTAAGTGCAAAAGTAGTAGATTACGATTTAATATCTCATTAAATAGAGGAAGTTTACCGATCTATACATTGAAAACACTCCATATCTGAGAATTTTCTTAAATACAAAAATTGTATGTTACGATAAGATGACGCTATTCACAAAATTGCAAACAGATGTTATTAATTTGATAAAAAGAGGTCTGTACCGCGGACAACATTTATGCATTTATATAATAAATTAAAAACCAACTAAGTCGAGTCAGAGTCATCGCCTGGGTTTTAGGCATCCGGTGCGAGATTTTACTGGGCATTCCCCCTTCTCTCCCTCTTCCACTCCAACTCAACTCTTGTTTTCTTCTTTTCTCTTCAAACTATAAACAAGACTCATAAATATTTTATGTTAGGATACAGTGTCAGATTATGATAAAAATATAGGTCATTACTTACCTATTGGTGATGTGAAGTTTTTATATTTGTTTTAAAAACTTTCTGACTACATACACTTAATGTTTGGTCGAATCCATGACATTTCCCCTAGCCAGGTGACAGCCCTGAGTCGACTGTGAGATTGGCAAGATTTTTATAGTTTTTTTAGCTTACTAAAGTTCTAGGCCTTACTAGATCAGCCACTTGGATCTTACTAATCAAAATCAGTTGCCAAACTTCTAGAACTTCTCCTTATTTTATAACTTACAGTTTACATCATTATCATATTAAATTTAACTGATTATTATTTAAGAATCAACAAATACTAACAAAAATCACTGAAGTTTATTTATTTCATTATTATTGTTTTGAATAGAATCGTAGCCTGCGTACATCCTGGTGAACATAGGGACGTTGTCACTAGCCCATACAACATTGCATTTTCTCTAAGTAAGCTCGCACTTGGAGCGACCTGCGTTTTTCCTGTGGATAACAAGGTTAGTTTTATCATATTATTTACATTTATAAGTCTACATTAGTTTAAGAAGTAATGTAAGTTAAAACACCACCTTACTCATTTTTAGATAAAAATGAGTTAGGTAGCTAACTGCATTCGTTCGATATCAAATGGTTATCTTACATTTTTCAAATATATATGTTTCCAAGATTTTAATGTTGAAATATTATATAAATTATAATAACATCATTAGCAATGTTATTTGGTTTGGAAGAATTGAATTAGGCATAATTAGAATTTATTTATATACTTTTCTTATTTTTATTAATTGTCCTTATATAGTAATCCTGTAAACGGATGCTTATTTTTTATTGGATACTTCTCATATATCAAATACATAGTTTTTAATCCTAATTAGGCTCAAGATTAAGTGAATCTTAACACTTTTGGTACAGGCTTCATTTTCTGAGAATATCTTGCAGCTTGCTGCATATTGCTTTTAAATATTTTATATTAAAAAAATAGTTAGTTTTATATAGCCGGTTTAAAAATAAAATATAATCTTTTCAAGCAAGATTAATACTGAAAACAACTGTCACTGATGGGAGGAGAAAAAGTCTATTGCCAATACGCGAGTCTCTGGAATAGTAAGAGATAGGGGACACAAAGCGTCCTTCCAGAAGGATCATCCTTAACGAGAGTGTTCCCAAATCAACAAAATGGCCATTAGAATTATTTATCTATCAAATAATAAAAAAAGATTTATATTTATCTAAAAACTTGAAATAACAGTGTGTCTGGAGGTATGCATGGGACTGGGGTTTGGGGAGCTATGCAACAAGCTGATCCCGCCGTAGCATGATGTGTACATGATACTGTCCAATCTCAGCTCTTAGTTCATTTTATCTATTTATAAAAGTTTATAAATAATTATTTTTCAAGCCTGTAATCCTGTTATACTTTTTTTGTTATTTCTAATGATTTTTTACTTTTTAGTCCCTGAGCAAAATTTGTGGAAAAACCAAAGTTACAAAAGATCCCCTTACGTCAGATCTTTATCAAAAGGTTAATGCAGTAATAGTGAGAATGCTTCTTAATCTAACCAGGTTTGATAATTTTCAAAATTTAATTAATATTAATATTTGAAGTAATAATATCACACACACACATATATATATATATATATATATATATATATATATATATAATATTTAATATATTTTAATAAATAATATTGATATATTTTATTTAATGTACTAATTATCTATTTTATCTATCTATACAGTGGTGCACGTTTTCCTGGAAGCTTAAATTTTGATCTTGGTGACCTACCAACAAATATGGTTCCATATAAAGGGATGCATTTTCTTGCTAGTAGTATATGCCCTCTAGTTTCTGGATCAGAAATCGGTATAAATATATTAAAAAGGTACAACATTTTTATTTTTTTAATGCTTTATTAATTTTATCTTCATGATTATTAGAAACAAATTCATAATTTTTCTTTGTTGAAATATAAATATAATTATATATATATATATATATATATATATATATATATATATATATATATATATATATATATATACATATATATATTTGCAAAATATGTTCAATCGACATTTGAGTATTATATTTTAACATAATTATTTAAATTGGGATGTCAAAAGAACATCCTTCATCTGATCAGGACCAAACGATTAAAGTGGTATGGCCACTTAATGCGGATGGATGAGAACCAAAGAAAATTTATACCTATATGCCACCTGAAAGAAGGAAGCGTGGAAGGCCATAGAAGAAATGAATAGAGGATGTAGAGGAAAACATGGCAGCCAGCAGAGGGCTTCTTGAAGGAGATTGGATGGACAGGGAGCAGTGGCTTTTGGGTGTTTGGGATATGACTCCTTAAGTTGTAGAAAACCCAAATAAAAAAAATAAATAATAAAAAAAAATTTAAATTGGGAATTAGGTCACTTGATAATTATTCAATAAACTACTAAATGTTCATCGCTCCTACTGTTTATTCGACATTTCAATCCCGTTTTTTTTTTTTTTTTTTTTTTTAAAGTTAACAATGGGATCCTCTTCAATGTTTTAAAATAGAACCTCGATACCTCAGGCCAGGGACACACCAACAGCCTCAGCTCCGTCCCCTAGCACAGATATTAAGCTACTCAGTATATATGAATTTAATTGGGGCTAAAAATTGCCTCTTTTTTTTTTTTGTTTTCATCACCATAAATTATTGAAATTAAATTGAATTTATTTTGAAATTTTATTAAATTTCTTCAGAAATGAAATAATTCTTTTTTCTTCTTAAGCAAAAATAGGAGAGAAATATTCCAATAACAGACCTCTACTACTCCATTTTTTTAATTTTTTGTTTTATTATCATTATTAATGATTTATTTAGTTATTATTGAGAATAATTTTTTTTTTCTTTTTTAGAAAGAAAGAACTCCTGCATTCAGTTTGTAACGAGGACCATCATTTAATTCAATTGAATGCTCTATCCGGAAAAGTTCATACTGCGGCACTCATTGCAAGGGGTGATATTCCGTTTTCTACTGCGGTAGACTTCCAAGAAAGGTATATATTTCGATCAATGCTTGACTTTAAATAAATGATCAAGTTTGGTCAATCGTAGGTCACTATTCTATTTTATAACTATCTTTTATGGAAAAATTTTGGAGAAAAAAAAATTAAACCCTGTTCTAATTACAAATTTATTTTCTTATTTAATATAAATATCTCAAAGAAATTAGCAAGCTTTGATTAGGCACTAAATAGATAAATAACTTCATAATATGTTAAATGTATTATGGTGAAAGTTTGAAATTAGATCATAGCTACCTAACTTGAAGTTGAAGGATTGAGTTTTCAAATAAAATAGCTAAATAGTAGTTTAATGAATTTTTTTTTTAATTTGTCCGTTACAGTGTTTATTATTTAAGCATCTGATTCGCTCAGTCTTTATTGTTATAGTAACATCGATAATTCTTTGATTATTTCAAATAAACCTAATTAACGGTACTGTAGAGAAAGCCATTTGGATAATTCGTCATTTAAACATGTTCAAACGTTTTCAATAAAGATAAGACCCAGCTGATATTAAAGATTATTTAAGTTGTTGCTTGATGTAATGAGTTTAATTAAAAACTATTTTTGAGAAAATTGTTAAAATGTGTTAAATCAATGATATAAAGCGCTCTTTCTGGTCAGTTGATTTACATGTACATTAGTCTGGCATGTAGATATCATACAAATATATAAAAAAAATACTTAGAAAAATATAAACATCTACAAAAAATACTGAGAGAAAAAAAAACGGATATATACAATAAATACTGAGATATAAAAAAAGTGAATAAATAAATTAAAATTGAAATGACTTCTGTCAATTAACTGCTGATGACCAGCATAATTATAAATTAATCTAGAAATTTTTATATAAGCATAAGCAAATATAAGCACGGATGATAAAGGATTAACTGAAGGAAGTGATTTTATGGGAGGAGATATATAAATCTATAGGTTGAAGTCTAGTGTTGAGAGAGTGGATAAAGGAGCGTAAAGTGGGGAGTTCCAGGATGTAGGGAGGATTTTTGGTTCTGAGGGCTTGGAAAAGGAAGACGCCAAGGAGGAATTGTCATCGGATAAAAATAGGATTTTTACGAAAAGGCTGCTTAATTTTTTTGCGATGATAATCAGGAAGGGAGGAGCAACCATGAGAATGCTAGGCATTAGTTGACAGTTCTCCGTTTCAGTTGTGACGGAATACTTTTCATCACCTCTACTTACCACTTTAGCCCTTTTATTTAGGGTGACCTTCCAAATTTTTTATTTTGCTTTTTTTTTTTTTTATGTAACTTTAATGCAATTGATAGAAAGGCCACAAGATAGTTTAAAAATAGAATTCATCACTGAGCACCACTTCATTTTAAGAGAAAGATCCTGTCAGCCTCTCGTCTCATATATGAGGGCACTGTCACCTGGCCTTGATTCCCTTTTGATTCATAAATAAGTTCACTGTCGTTAAAGGGTTAACATTCCAGTGTATATATGCCGCTCTCATACATACAGACCATTTTGTGAGACTGAGTTATTTGGAATCGGGAAGTGCATATAACTAAGGAGTATTTAAAGAAATGAGTACTTCTGTTGAAAATTTAGTTTCTAAATTTTTCCCTTTCAAGATACTTTCCCTTACTATATATTTCGCATATAGGTAAGTTAAGGTAAAAATCTTTCCTATTGTAATTTTAAATACTGTTATAACATTATGTCTTTTATTATTATCTAAGAATATTTTAATAATTTACTAAGAAATGTTTTTTATTATGTTTTCAGGTTAATAGCAAAAATAAAGAGAAAACCAATGGGCATCACGTTAGGTCTTTCATCTGTTCCTCCACACGATTCACCCGTGTCTCTCCTTCTTCTGACTAATTCATCTTCGATGTCAACATTTTTCTCTCAAGCCGTTAATGACTTTAATTCTCTTTATTTTCGAAAGGTAACTGTTTCCTCTTGAAACTAATTATTTACTACTACTACTTTTTTTTCTAAAATTATGAATCTTTGATGTATGTAACAAATTTTATTTTCATGCTACAAAACTTGTATTTCCTCCACATAAAATTAAAATTGTCTCTGTCAAATTTAATTATTATCAGTTAAAGGGTGAGATATCAGGGTGTCCAGTGTATGGGAATTTCCTCAAAACCGGGAATTGTATTGACATTTTCCAATAATTCCTCTTGGTCCTCATCTATAATTATATATATTTGAAAGGTATTTGTTCATTTTATTATCGTTGGTCAAAAACTGTAAAAAAGGAGAAGAGCGACCAGTGACTTTAAATAATATGTTTCTGATGTTGGGAAGAACATTTCCCGAAACGTCCAACCAATATAATAAATAAAAATAGTAAACTACAGTCGTGAGGAAGTTATATTATGTAACTTGGTTATATTGGTCTGTAAGAACAGCCCTGATGAAGGCCTGGAACTTCAGAAAAAATAAATATAATTTATTTATTTTTACTTTGTTCTTAATTTGACTTAACTTCCATGCCAACTTCTCTTTAATATATATTATAGAACTTACACCAAAAAAAAAACTTCCCTACCGAATAATGCAATAGTCTATATTTTCTAGTAAAAAATTTAAGGAGGCCAACAATTTTTATGATTAATTTTCCCCAAAGTGGCTAGAAAAATATTGTGACATTCCACACATACTTGACAGCTAATTACAATGCGAAAAGCATTGTGTAATAATTTGCAGCATTTTTTTTTCTATTAATTGAGGTTTTTTAAGGGCTTATTAAAGATATGTTTAATCAGGAAAATCAAAGTTTGATTTTCTAAATTCTGCACAAATCCAGTGAATATTTAAGCTGTTAACACCTTGGCTGCAGAGGGGATACCTGCCCACCCGCCTTGGCTATCGCCACTTGTAGCGGCAATCTGATAACTGAAGTGTAAGATAGAAAAACAATCACGAGTTCAAATCCCGATGCCCGTTTTAACTTGGCATATTTCCCCCGGCTCTGTAAAATCACAGTGTAGCCTAAAAGGCAAGGAAGGGGGGTAAAAAAAAAAAAAAACTTGGTCCATGCATTTATTAGCTTTCTGATGCTCACTCAATTCTGTCATTCCGGTTTTTGACCATTTGTTGGAAGCTATCAGTTAAAGATTTATTCTGAACCAAAATTTAATATAAAGGTTTTAAATGCATTTTTGAAAGCTAATCTTTTTCAGGATGATTCCAAATAGTATTTTAAACAAATTTATGGGGAAGAGAGGGAAATCTCTCTTTTTGGATTTCGAGACCCGCCTGCGGGAAGAAACACTCGTTATGAGGTCTCGCAGTCATAGGGTTAAACAAAAATATTAAAATTAGTCATAAAATCGAATTTCAAAATATTTTGTTTATGATAAATCTGTTTGAATTTTTATGCAGGCCTACACCCACCATTATTTAAAAGTCGATGACTTTGAATTTGAAGAGTTCTCTGGAGCCCGAGAAGTTCTTTTGTCTCAAGTTGATGCCTATACAAAAACATACGAAGATATTCATATACCAAGGATTAATGTTGAAATTTGACATAATAAAATATGTTTGTTCTCAGTTGGACATTTGCCAAAGAATTAAGTTGATGTGCCTTCATATTTTATTTTTTTGTTTTAATATTATGCTTTGTTTGATCGAAAGTTGTGTATCAGTTCTATATGGCTGTGATTTAACTTTGTAACTTTGATCTGAAAAAAAAAATCAAACTTACTGCATGTAATGCAATTTGTAAAATCAAATCAATAAATAAACTTATAAGACTGTTTTATTACATTTATTCTATGTGTTTGAAATGAATTGTATTTGTTAAATTGTATAAAAAAAATTAAAAAAAGAAATGAAATAATAAATTTTATTTTCTTCATAAAAATGGAAAAAAAACATTTATTTATTCTCATTTATAATTTTAAATATATATTACTTAAAATGTCTATTCCTTTCCTATGTATTATGAACTATCTCCATTTCCTGAAATTTAACACTTATCAGAGATAGCAAATATATAAACAGGTTTAAAATGGACTAAACCATAGTAAAAATTTGTTTTTACAGTCTCTTTTGTCCTCCTTTTTACATATTCTACGATCCACATGGTTATTTCTGAAATAATATTACAAATTGCCAATGAAATAACTACTAAATTTATTTCTAAAATAATTATTTCAGATTTACTTATTTTATAAATAAATTATTACAAAAAAAAACATGAAATAATTATTTTCTAAATAACTCTGTACTGAAATAACATAAAAAATCCACCAATATAACAAATATATAGTATAATCCCACCAGATCAACCTCTACTCCGCCGTTGGCAATGATTATAGGGTGCATATTTTGCCTAATACCTAAAGGTATCCAGCTTAATATTATATTTGCTCAATATATTTTTCCCTGTTTGAGACATTTTATCCTTTGTAGAGGCTGAATGTGCCTGACAAAAATTTCATGTTTTCTTATGCCCCTTTTTGTTTTTTTACAATTAGATGGACTTGAGGCATTATATTTACTCCTGTTTGAGACAATCTTTGTAAAGGCTTAGTGTGCCTGATTACTGTTTCGTTTTTTTCTTATGCCCTCTTCTTGTAGTTAGTCGGATTTGAGCCTTGATATGAGTAGGAAAAAGAAAAAAATAATCGGGCACACTATAGAGACTAAAGTGTCTCTAACAGCAGTAAATATAACACATCAAATCTGTCTAATTGCAGGAAATAAAATAGAAACATAAGAAAAAATTAAATTTCTGTCGGGCACTCTCAGCCTCTATAGACACTAAAGAATATAAATGTCTCAAGTCCGTCTGATTTCAGGGTATAAAACAGAACATAAGAAAAATAAAATTTCTGTCTGATACACAGCCTCTAAAAAGATTGCCTCAAACAGCAGTAAATAAAATGCCTTAAATCTGTCTAATTGCAGGAAATAATAGCTTGGTAACATGAAGGATATCCTATCTTTACCCAAGTTGGAGCAAGTAAATATTTAAAGCACAAATAAATAAGCATGAGAGACTTGTGAAACCAATAATTTATGTATAAAAAAAAGTATAAATATTATAATAAAAGTTAAAAAATTAGCAAGGGAATATAATTAAGTAAGAAAGATCAGTAATGAACCAGTTGGAACTCAGAAAAACAGAAACCTTCATCTTTTTATTTATGATTATACAAAAAAATAAAATAAAAGACTAATATCAAAAGGCTAAAAGTGAATTGATTTTAAAGAAGATTTTACAACAGTACAGGATATTTACTTTAATAGTTTTTGTATATCTTTTACAATTAAAATATAAGTTTACAACTGTTTAAATAACCAAGAAGTATTCCTTACAATAATAACTTAAAATTATATTATTCGATTATTTTTGATGGTCAACAACTCAATTTAAAATTTTTCAATTGTTTTAGTTTCGGTACACATTTTGTTTTTCTCAATATCTATCTCATAAATATAAAAAGTATCATTAACCAAAATAAATCAATAAAGACATTAATTGAAATTATAACTTGAGAAAAATATATTGGGTTGGCGAATAAGTCCTTTCGGTTTTTCTGTTTATTTTTATGTCATTACGATACACTTCATATCTGATGAATTAATCCCTAAGGTGGGTTGTTTTTCCTTTTTGTAATATATCAACAACTATATCTGTTAACGCTTGTTGAAACTAGCTTAGTATTGTGTTTGCTATTGTTATGTGATTATGGAAGAAAATATCTTTCATTATCGGCATATTTTGTTGTATTATTTTAAAAAAGGTAAGCGTGCTGCAATATTTTATTTAACAGAAATAAAATTAAATTTCTGTCTGGCACACTCAGTCTCTATAAACACTTAACTGCCTCAAACAGCAGTAAATATAATGTTCCTAGTCCTAACTAGAGAAAACAAAACAGGGGCATAAACGGAAAGTAAATTTAGAGTGAACAATAGGATTTTTATTACGATTAATTCATTCCCTTTTGCATCTATCAGCATGATTATTTCTGAAATAATTATGTCATTAGTCCTGAAATAATTATGTCATTAGCCTGAAATAATTTATTTCAGACTACTACTTTGGTGTACTACAATGTAGATTGAGACATTGGCTATGAATAAATATTAAACTTAGAATTAGAATTATGGTAAAGCATTTCCATGACATCATAATTTTTTTTTTATTATAATCTCTTTTTTCTTAGTTCAAATTAACTTTTATTGAAATTAAGAATTTAATTTTCATCATAACTTACAATATATATATATATATAAAGAAAATGAATAATGATTATGTAGATTTCATGGGTAATTTTGTTTTTATATAATCTCAATTCAATAAGTCTGTGGCAATCTCCTAATCTTTTCACATTCAGAAATGAGCTTTTCTACACATTTCATATTGAGTTAATGAAGGACATTGAAAATAAAAACATTGACGTTTTAATTTTTTTTTTTTTTACTTCATTAATTTGAAGGAGCCCTGGGAATTTTATTTAAGGAAGAGAAAAGTGATATAGTCCCATTGGATTTCAACATTTAGAAGAACTAAGTTCATCCAAAATTAATCAGGGCATTAATTAATTTATCAATCGATCTTTACGTTTTAATTTTTTCTTCCTCATCACAGGTGGATCTACAGGGAGGAGGCTTTCCCCCAAAATGGTAAAATATAACCATGTTTTACAGAAAAAAATATTAAAAACTATCTCTTAAAGTACTATTGTTCGTATAATTACATTTAATAGGACTTCAAGAATCACTTAAACACCATTTCATATAGGTAGTTAATTTCTTTTCTTTTTTTTTCTAATTAATTATCGTTATATGAAGATGGAAAAAAATCTTTCGGGCTGAAGCCCCCCTCCCCAAAAATTAAATCCTGGATCCGCTAGTGTTCCTCATTACATTATTATTTTTATTTTTATTTTTTTTTTTTTAGTCGAGATATTTTATCTTCAATGACCGATTTTTCATAATTATTGTTTTAAATTGGTCACATCGTTATCTGTGTTTGAAGATTGTCAACAATAAATGAAACATACGTTTCTTCAGGATTCTGACTGCAACCGCACTTACTAGTCAGAAAATGTTCACTTACATTGACGTAATAGTTTAGGAAAATGGTGATGTTTTCAAATCAGGAACATTTTTTTGATTTAATTAGTTTCAGATGATCCGAAACTTGTAACTATTTTAGATTTCAAGTACTATTTTCAGTAATTTTGTTTTCTCCGTGTAATTTATGAGCTCAGTTAACATTTCACTTTATATAGGCAATTATTGTTTCAAACAGTTATGCAAGACGTGTTCTGATCATCACCAGATATGTTTTCTTAACAATATCTTATCTTTGTAGTTTTATATGAACAATTTCATAATTGTATCATCACTCACGCACAACAGAGAACGAATAATATTATTTTCGAGCTAATTTAATTGTCAAAATTGTAATAGATATTATATATTTAATTCTTTATTTTCAAAGTTGCAGTAGCATATCCAGGATTTAATTTTGAAGGTTGAGCTTCAACCCGAAAGTTTTTTTTTATGTCTATATAACGATTATTATTTTGGAATAAAAAACACTAAATTTAATTACATGGATAATAATACTTTTTTTATATTTTTACTTTCACTAACCTATATATGTAATATATAGTAAGGGAAAGTATTGCGATCGTGAACTTTTTTTAATCGAAATTTTCAACGGAAATACACGTTTTGAGATCCTATGAGTCCAAATAACCAAGTTGCGAAAAATGGTATGTATGTATGTGAACAGCCTAGTTCAAAAACGTAAAACGTAGCTTAAAGTTTTATTGTTCATGTAATTACATTTAATAGGACTTCAAGAATCACTTAAACACCATTTCATACAGGTAGTTAGTATCTTTCTTTTTTTTTTTCAAAGTAATTATTGTTACATATATAAAAAATAAAAGCTTTCTGGCTGAAGTCTCCCCCTCAAAAAATTAAATCCTGGATTCGCTTGTATATAGTTAGTTGGCTACAATAGCGGATCCAGGATTTAATTTTGTGGGGGGAGGGCTTCAGCCCGGAAGCTTTTTTTTCATAAACATAACAATAATTATTTTAGAAAAACAGAAAGATACTAACTACCTATATGAAATTGTGTTTAAGTGATTCTTGAAGTCCTATTAAATTTAATTAAACGAGCAATAATACTTTAAGACATATTTTTTTATTATTTTTTACGATAAAACATAGTAACATTTTACCATTTTGGGGGGGGGGAGTTTCAGCCCGAAAGCCCCCCCGTAAATCTGCCTGTGGTTGGCTAAATATTCAAGTGACCATTAGAAACGCTTAAAATGATGATATATTATATAATCATGATGCAACAAAACCTTTAATTCAAAGTTGTTTTTTTTAATAAACACCAGAGGTTTTATCCGGAGCCCTAAAAAAAGTAATTCGCCCCGGGCCCTAAATAATCTGAGTTAGCCAATGGGGTTGCTTAAAAAAATTGAATTAGAAACAGGAAGTGGAACGTTAGTTATGTTAATTGAAATTTATGTGTCTAATGTAATAAGAACAAGCCTAAACAAATTACATAATCAAATCTTTTAAATATGTCAAAATTAATCTTAAAATAGTATTTCAATCACAAATGATATCACTATAATTTATTATAGTCTCTTTCATATCGTCCATATATATTTCATTTATGAGGTATTGTATTTCGTACTTTCATTTTTATTGGTGAGAGAAAATTACCAAGATGACAATCCGTTAACTTATCATAATTATGATAACAAATAGTTTCAATATAGAAACTATTTGTTTTTTCATAAATAGTTTTTCAGTTTTTCATTTATAAAAGGTATTTAGAATATCATAATTTTAAAATATAGTAAATTCCTGATAAGTTTGTTATCTTGGTACCTTTGATGTTAAGCAGAACTAATTGATAACCGTGCATTAACCTCTATGTTCCCCTTTGCTGTCAGTTGCGTTATGTAGCCTTTTTTTCTGGTTGTTAATTTCTTTGTATTTCTTAAATGCACTGCTCAGGACGAATTGACTCGAAAAGTTGGCAGGAGAAATGTTTAACAACATTTTTCGTGAATCGGACAACGCTTATGGAAGGCTGAAACAGCAAATTGACACTTTGAAGATTTTCAATGCCAATGTAACTGAGGTGGTTAAGGATGAAGAATATAAGGTAGACTTCGGTTCAGGTGGTAGGACAGTTTCACTAATTGTCAAGCTGGGGCCAGAATTTCCTTTAGAGAAGCCATCACTATATATTTACCCCCCTGTGATGCACCCCTGGGTCTCTCCAAGTGGTGAAATTATTTCTGCCCCTGGATTACTCAATTTCACAGTACATTCCGATCTTGGACGTGTTGTCCAAGCTATTATTAGAGAATTTCAGCTTCGTCCTCCACAGTTGTTAAATGGAGATATTTCTCCTCCCCAATTCGAGGTCTCAAAATTACCCACAACAAGCACACATTCTAACTACCTTTATAGCGATAAGAACTACAATACATCCGGTGGTGTTTCTACTTCTTTTCCAGCTTTAAATGAGATGTCTACTGCTCAGTTAAAAGAATTGAATGAAAATAGTGACTTACTGAATAGTTTTATAGACAATTTAAATGTGAAATTACAAATAAGTAAAAGTATTAGTGAATATGTTGAGCTTAATGAAAAATTGGCTGATGAAAATTTGAAGAAAGAGCCTGTACTTGCTGAGTTACAAGACGATGTGTCGACCTTACTCGATACATTGAAAGAATACAAATCCAAGTATGAAGAACTTAGTGCTGAATATAAAGACTGCTGTGATAGGTTTAATCCTCACCAAATAATTCAGAGGATTAGGGAGAAAGTAAGCGAAGTAGATGAAGAAAGCGAAAGAATAGCCGAAGCATTTCTAACTGGAGATATAGATCTTGATACTTTCCTGTTAGAATATGTTAGTCATAGAACTCTGAGTCATTCGAGGAAAATTAAAGATGAGAAATTGAGTCAACAGCTAGAAAAATTACACCAAGCTGGGTTTTAATGGGTAAGTCAGTATATTTAAATAAAATCCTTGTTATTTTGTCAATCCAATTATTTTTGTGTATTATTTCTTGAATTCCTTTGTAGCTAGATTTTTTCACATTCTTGCTCAGCCATATTCTTTTACTTTACTAAGAAAGAAATTAAATCTCATTCAAAATAGAATGTTAATTCATATTAATCTAGAGCTGCTTAAGTATCTATATTGCAGCATTTTTATATACAACACTGAAATTCAAACTTTCTCCTTAATACAGATTCATTAATCAAATTAATAAATACATAAATTGAATTAAATGGCTGACATATTAAATTAACCTCAATAGATGTTTCATTGATTGAGAGGTATTATGGCCAATAAAATTACAATTTTTTATGTAATGTTTGCATTCCCATATAAATATAGTTTGTTCTCCAGCTGCTTTAGTAATGAAATATACGTATTGTTTGTTCACTGTTAAATTGACTATATTAATAGATAACAATCTACAATCTAATCAAAATCTGTGTACAGATTTTGTGTTCATAATGATAGATAACATAATCTGTGTACAGATTTTGCGTTTATAATGATAACAATCCCTAATTTCTATTTTATTCATACTATTCTGGTAGTTATTGATGGGTTAATAGTTTCATCTAAAATTATTTAGCTGATGTTTTTCATAAGACTATTCAAATAGTCTTACTGTTTAATGGATTTTAAAATATTTTATGCAGTAGATGTTTTGTCTTAGGGTGAAATTATATTTAATACACATTGGATTATGTGTGTTTATTATATATATGTATTGTTAATTGGTCATTAAATATGGTAATAATAATAATGCTTTATTTATTCTGGGACGAGTTCCTTTAGAATAATACATAGAGACAAAAATGTGGGCTAAGGAGCCTCAGAGATACATAAACAAGAATATAGTTTGATTAAATAGTAAAAAAAAAATAATAAGAGAAATTATAAGTTGCTTTCTAATTTATATCAATTAATAATAAAGAACGATCTAATAGTTTATATACATATTTACAGTAGTAACTATTTACAATTTTATGAGAACTGGGTGGATAAGAAATGATTAAACAGTTGGGATTTAAAGGTAGGGAGGGATTTGGATTGATGGATGTGGGGAGTTTGAGTCCCATAGGGAAGAGGATCGAATAATAAAAGATTTATCGAAAACAGTGGTTCGGTGGGCCATTATATATAAATCTGATAAATAAAATTATAAGGCCTTAAATTGAAATATAGAATTCAAACAAGTATTTGTATGTATTTGAGAGAAATATGTAGAAAATAATTGAGAAGATATCGGATTCTAGAATTTTTATTATTATTAATATGTAAATATTCAATGGTGAGATAGAGAAACTAGGTATTTATTCAATTGCTTAAATTAAATAATTTTTTAAATTAATATTTGTTTTCTTGTATTTTAGGGCTCAAGCAATAGACACTGAGGTGTTAGTTGAAGCAGAACAACTGAGAGATAGAAGAAGTCAAGCTAAGATCTTAGTTGTATTGGAATTGGAAAGTCATGCGATTACCAACCTTGTGTATATTTTTATTTTTTATTAAATTTGCTGTATATATTGACTAAAATGATAGTGTTAATTGCCTTGGGGAAGGTGGACCAATTTATCAGTTCCTTTATTTTTTAAATTTATTACGAACAAGGTATGAGTTGTTTATTTAAAATAAATGTCTATACTATTTATATGTTATGTGTAAAATATTTATAATTTTGCCTACATTAAATATTTTTTTGTTTTTTTTTTTTATGGGCCTGCTTATTTTTTTTTTACTCGAGCCCTTATTACCTTACCATGTTAATTATTTTTATTTAAAACTAGTATTATCAAACATTATATTCTCAGCCAAAGATATATCAGTTTTATTTCATATAATTTTAACTTACTAAATTCCATTAGTAAAGTCATCGTAGTAAGAGAAAAGGAGTTTATTTTTTTTTTTTTTAAATACTTTCTTTTTCTCTTGTTTTTGGTTATATTATTCCAATTTTTTTTTCAATGTACAAACTGTACCAAGATAATGAAAAATTGATTACTATTGTTTCATAAGGCATATACAATAACAATCTCTTAACTTCAAAACTTTCTCTGCCAGATTATGGTATTGGTGAATGGGTTTATTTCTTTAGAAGTTATTTAACAATGGGTCTTAAAATATCAAATACGAGTGAAGTAAAAAAATTCAAAATGATTAATACTTGTATACACATTTACTTAACTAAACAATCTTCTAAAATATTCAGGCTTATCTTTCACCTTAATTAAGAGTTTTATTACATAAAATGCTGAATGTTTTCTTTTTAACTGTGATCTAAAAGAAGTTTGTTTTTTTCTAGTCAAAAGAGAATAAAAATCTACTAACCATATAATTTAAAAATTGTTGATAAACCGATTATTACTCCGAGACTGTCGCAGTTATTTATATAACAAAAAAAGTAGGCATTATTGAAAAATTCCATAATAATGGCATTAAATAGTAAAATATTGTGTGTAAAGACAACTTAAAATTATGTATATGTATTCATATAAATATTTACAAAGAATTATTTTAAAAATTGCAACTTTTTTGAGAATACAAATTACATATTTATAATTACTTCATTTTTTAAGTAATGGTAAGCATATTTCAATGCAAGAATACATAGGACGCAACTCAAACTTTTTTTTTTCTGTTGACCAATTAGATAAAAATAGGATAGGAAGTGAAATTGTTAATTTTCAAGACAGTTTACTTCCTTGTTATCCTTTACGATGCAGAGAGCTGGGTATTAAATGGCAGACTATGGAGTTGAATGACCATAGTGGAATGAATACTTACGAAGAATGGCTGGGAAAAGAAGAATGGATTGCTTAAGAAATAAAAGAATTTTGTTTCTCATCTAGCCTTTAATATATGATATATGTCAACTTTGGGTATTTTAAGTTCATTTGCACTTATTTACAGAAGTAAATTTATATTTTAGTCTTGGTTTTCTTTTTAATATCAAAACAAAATAGAATTTGAAGATTTTCTCGTCTCTTAAAAATGAAGAGGTATAAAAAGGGAAAAACAAATCTATTTTATTTATACCCACGCTAAACATGGTGCATATAAATGATGAAATGATACATCCTTTATTTATGCAAAAATTAATACATAATAATTTAAATAAGTATACTCTTTAAGTGAGAAAAGAAATTAATAAATTGATTATTTTTTCTCATTTTTTTTTTTTCCCTTCTTCCTCCCTTGCATAGGCCTTCCCTTACGGGAGTAATAGTCTGCACATCCCGCGGTGACTAGCCCTACTGGGATGCGAGTTCCGTCCAATTGTCCTTCCAGAGATCCCTGTCTCTTTCAGTTCTCCACGAGAGGGAGTCAAAGGCTTAAGCACATCGCTCCACCTTTTCTTTTGATGTCCTCTATCTTTGCAGGTCAATACTTATACTTCTTTTCATGCTTGAGGAACCATTATTCCAGCCGAATACCATTCTTCTCTGGACTTCCTTTGCTCCTCTTCTTGCGAATGATACTAACTGGCCCAAGTAGATCTACTCCTCTACATATTCCAAACTGTGGTTGTTTACCTTACATTCTTCTTTTCCCCTATTTGTCATTAATTTAGTCTTTTGATAGTTGGGGTAAAGGCCGATTTCTCCACACAGTTTTAAAAGATGCTTGATCATTTCCCGCAGTTGTTGCTTAACCACTTGCTATTTATTTTAATTCCTGTGTTTTCCCATCCAATATGCCAGAACATCATATTTAACACAAGGATAAACAAAAGTGGGAATAACGGCTCCCATTGCCACACACCATTTTCAATTCTAAAGCTTTGACCTTTTTTCTCTGTCATAATATATGCCGACATTTTCTTGTAAAGTTCTTTGATCATTGCAACATATTTTTCCTCTTTTCCTACTGTCCTCAGTGCCTTAAATATTCCTGCATGTAGAATGCTATCAAATGCCTTCTTGAAGTCAAGAAAACAAAGGTACATAGAGAAAGTGTATTAATTTGCTTTCTCGATAATCTGATTTACAGCCTGGATGTGGTTCACTGTCGAAAATCTTTTTCTAAATCCTGCTTGTTCTTCTTCAACACATTCCATAATTCTTTTTGTGATCCTGTGCTTGATAACACTGGTGAAAACTTTTGCCATAGTTGAACAAAGGGAGATAGACTAATAAGTCTCTGTATCATGGTTATCACTCTTTTTATATAACAGCCTTAGCCTTTTTCCATTAGTTATGAATTTCTTCTTGCTCAAGAATCAAATTAAAAAGTTCTGTTAATTCCCTAGTTAGAGCATTCACTCCTGCTTTTTAAAATTTCGTTGCTGATATTATCTGGCCCAGGACTTTTCTCAAGTTTTAGTTTTTCAAGATGAATTTAACTTCTTCCATTATTGGTGGTATTTTCTCCACATTTTTTAATATCTTTTCATCATTACTTGTTTTTAAAGTTTCCGTGTTGCTTTTATATAGTTTTCTAAAGTATTTCGTGGCTACTCTACTTATATGTTCTCCATTGTTTATGATCTCTCTTTTATTGCTTTCAAGAGCAACCATCCATTGAGTGCCTTTAGACAGTTCTTTTTTTAGATTTGTTTTGGATAAATTTTTTTCTATAATATGGATTTTGTATTTATAAATGTTTGTGCTTCTTAAATGGAAAGAAAATTTTTTAATTTCCTTACAAATTGCACGCATGTATAGATAATTTTATTTCTCTATAATTGGGATGAACTAAGATGTTATACAGGTTGTTTCAGTTCTTGATGGGAAAACTCTGGGTTGTTATTCTAAGCAAAATTTCCAACCAAAAAGTATCGTGGTTGGATGAAAAAAGGGACTTTCAGGAGATCTAATATAGCAATTCATCATTGACCTTAGTAAATTTAATCACTGTTACTTTACAATGGTTTACTTAGAATTTAAGTATTTAGAACAGTTTTTGAGAAATTCCTTCTCTTTCATAAAAAACTTGACTACCTTAAAAAAACAAAAAATTGCTCCTTTTCGGCTCAGAATCGGCCCATGTATCGAACAAACTTTTTTGTTGGAATTTTTTTCTATAATCACTCTCACAGTTTGGCCATTAATTTGATATTGCAACCTTCAAAATACCCCTGAGACAGACACTCATACCATCTCCGTTTTCATAGCTGAATGTTCTTTCTTTAGAGATTTTTCAGCTGCCTTTTTGTTTATGATTAAAGTCACCCAGCATTTTATCTTAAACACTATTCCATATTTGGAAATAAAGAAAAACCGAATCAGGTGAATAAGAAAGGTTGTTCTGTAATATTAATCTAATTTGAGGCCAAAAATGCATGCAGGTCTAGCAAGTGGATGCACGGTCATTGTCTTAATGAAAGATCCATCCATCTGGCCATACCAACATTTTCAGCCTGGAGGCCAAAAATCCTGGGTGGACAATGCTATAAGCAAAAAAAAAAAAAAAAAAAAAATTGAACTAATTTTCTATATTGGTTATAATTGGAAAATTCCTACCATGCAGCTTTGTGTCTCTAAAACTTAGGTAAAGAATTGAATAATCCGATGTTTTGTCAATTGAGTTATCACATCAGAATTGAATAGGAAAGAAACCGATGATCACCTACTGAAAGAAAGGTGAGGTAACACAGCTTATGAAGGTTATGTTAATATCAAAAAAAAATTTTTGTTATGATCTTGGCTTTGTTTTCTTTTCCGTCCTAATATTTGAATTGGTGAAACGTTAATGATTTGGTTTATTCTTTACGTAAATAATGTAAATTGGAATTTTCCAATGGTATTATAGACCATGTAGATCTTTTGCCTCCTTAACAAGCCTGCTCCGTCTCTGCCTGTCTTGGGCTATCCCTTCATTCTCTATTCCAGTTATTTGCATCTGTCTTTGTTGATTCTACTTATCCATCTACTTTTTGGCCTTCCACGTGGTCTTTTACCTTCTATTGAGGCATTCATTGTTACTTAGAGGCTTTCAGACGGATTTCTACGAGCTCCATGCCCCGCTCATCTTAACCTCCGAGCCTTCATATCATGGGATATCGATTAACCAGTTTCTGTAAGCAGTTCTTTATTGATCTTTCTTCTACATGTGTTAGTACTCTGATCCCAGATCTCTCCGGTTATCGTGCGGATAGTTTTCCTCTCAAATCTTTCAAAAATTTTTTCTTGGGTGCTGGTTAGTGACCAGGTCTCACAACCATATATTAGAACTGCCTTTATCATAGTATTGTACACCCTTAGTTTGAGATTTTTCGGGATTTTAATACCTTTGAGAGGGATAAGAAAGCTCTGTTTGCGGTAGTTATACGCTTGCCTATTTCTGCCCGTTGGTCATTAATTGAGGTTATTGTGGAGCCGAGGTATTCGAATTTTTCTTCTCACGGGAATGATTTTCCTTCTTTACAGATCCTGTTATTGGGGTGGACTTTTCGGCTTATCATATATTTTGTTTTGTCTTCATTTACTTGTAGGCCGATCTGCTCTGGCTCTCTTATCAGTGTTGTAGTGAGTTTCTCAGTGTCTTCTTGATTACTTCCAAGGACAGCTTGAAAGGAAGAATAAAGCTCTGTTTGTTGTTTGAGGTTATTATAGATCCGAGGTTAGAATTTTTCTGCTCTCACAAACGATTTCCCTTCTCCACAGATCCTGCTATTGGAATGGAATTTTCAGCTTATATATTTTGTTTTGTTTTCATTTTTCAATTATAACTTATATTCTAACATAAATTCCCTGTTTCTTGGTGAATCTTTACTCATTTACAGTCATTTTCTCTATAAACTATCTTATGATCATCTTACTTGAAAAAAAAACTATAAATGGTTCAATGGTATCGCCACTTCAATGCTCTCTGCTTCTATTCATTATTAGAATAGGAATTGTTTGGTTTATATTAGTTCATTTAGAATGTCAACATATTAAGGAAGTTTGTGGTAGATATGCCGATGTTTCGTTTATACTTATTTTCAGTTTCAGAGGTATGCGAACATTTATTTCTAATTGAAGGGAGTACCTAAA